GTATAAGAGCTATCGTAGTTATCTATATTAAGAATTACTATATTTATTAGAGAACTAAAACGCCTCGCGATTAAGAGTATAGCTTATTATAGTCTTTATTAATTTCATAAAAACGATAATAAGATATATCGATCAACTTCGTTATAGACTTACTTATATTTAATAGCTATAACGCTATTTAAATAATAATTAATTAACTTATTAAGAAATGTTATTATATAGTCTATTCTAATATTAATAAAGATACTATCGCTAAGAAGATAGTTAACTTATTACTTAAGAAAGTATTTCGTCTATATAATCTATTAATCTTAATAATATTAAATTAAAATCTCTAATTTATAACTACTATATAAAAATCTTTTTATAAGAGACTAGATATTATAATTAAGCTATTAATAGCCTTTTACTTTAAAATCGATAAATAGATTAAATAAGCGAATTAGAATATAAAGCGTTATCTTTAAATATATTATAATTATATATAGAATAACTAGATAAGATAACTATCTATTATCGAGTTCGTCGATAATAATACTATCTTATCGACTATTAATATTTTATCTTTCCTTATAAATAAGAAGTTTTATTCTCGAATAACTTTTAGCTCGAATATTATCGACTACGAGATTATATATAAGCGTCTTAATACTATTTAAATAAAGGATATTATAAACTATATAAAATAAGTTCTTAAGTATATTCGAAGTAATATAAATCGCGTTTAGAAGGCTATAATTATATAAGCTAATAAGTATTAATAAAAGATTACTTTTTAAATAGACGATAAGATCTTTCTAAATAATAAGAATATTACCTTTAATTATCTTTCCCGTAAATTAAATTATAAGAGACTCAATCTATTCGAGATTATAGATTTTATAAGAATCTTATATCGTCTAGAACTTTCGCTAATTATAAGAATCTACAACGTCTTTTATCTTAATCTCTTAAGTCTTATAATAAATAATCTCTTATTAGAATAGATAAACTCTCTATCGAAGTATATTACTATTAATAATTAAATCGAATAAGTTATTAAAGAAATACTTAGCTTTAAATTAATCTATAGTTATCTTAAATATAAAGTTAAGTAAGAAGATCTCGATAATAACTTCACCTAGTATAATACGAATAGCGATAAATTCGAAAATTACTAGAATCTAATAAACGATTTTTATAAGCGATATCTCGAAGAGTCTCACCTATAAAGAAATTAGAACGAGGGGCCTTTAATAGCGATAGCGTTTCCGGGTCGAAACTATCTCGAATATCTTATTTTTAATCAAATTAAAATCGTTCGATATCTTTATAATAGCCTCATTTTTTCTAAAATCGAGAATCGATCTCTTAGACTTATATTAATTAGAAATTATCTTATATATAATCTTTCGCGTAGATCTTCGTTATTAATATAACTTTAAAGATCTTTTAAAGCCATATTAATATATATATAGACTACGTTATCGCTATTACGAAATATAATTAATATTAACTAAATAATATACTATAGAGAAGACTATATCAAAGTTATTTAATATTAGATTAAAGTTTTTAGCGTCTATAGCTCGGTTCGATTCGAGAGCCCTTAACTAATCACATCGCATTATTCCACCGATATCTCATCCGCTCAAATACGAATTCGGAAATCACTATTATTTACCCCTACGCCTATGAATATAATTTTCGCCACACCACACCGATTTCCTCCCGGCTAGGCCCCCTATATGCGTATACACCCCGGCTAACAACGTCGCTACAGCGTAAATATAAAAAGCTACTACCATCTCCAATACCTCTCACGGAGAAAGGTACGATACTGGGATTCCCGGATACGATTATTTCTTTACTGCTTTTATTATTTTTCAGGCGTTAAGCGTGTATACATACCCATTTTTCTATCTTTCCACTCATTAATTATAGGATATAATTTAACGAAGGGGGGGAGTAGTATTACGAGCGTATTCTTAATACACCCCTCAGCCTTATAGCTAGCGGGCCTTAGCGGAGACATCCCCTACCATATCATGCCTCCTTCCCACCTACATAGTTCGGTACCTTAGTTATCTTATTAAACATACCTATATTAATATTGCATCTATACCGATCCTGACATTAATCGAGCTTTTAAATTAGTAATTTATAATTTAAATTATTAATTTAAAAGCTCGATTATCTAATTAGATCTTAGTATAACTATTTATTTAAATATAGTAAAAATGAAGCAATAATCTACCCACCTATCTAGATGTCATTATACATACCTCTCGTTCTTACAGTACACAATGGCTACGAGCCATTCAGCCAGTCACTCAGTTAGCACTACCTACCCCGCCAGCTCACCACTCCACTCAGCTAGTCACTCAGCTAGCCACTCACTTAGCCACTCAGTCTAATATTCTATAAGAGAAGGAGCAATACAGTATAAAGAATATTGCGGAGACAGTCAGCAGCAGCAGTAATATAACAGACCTGCTCTCCACGATTTTATACCAGCCCGATACTCAGTAAGAGAAGAAACCACTGCAGCAGGTAAATGCGGAGAATATTGCGGAGACAGTTAGCAGCAGCAGTAATATAATAGACCTGCTTTCTACGATCTCACACCAGCCCGATACTCAGTAAGAGAAGGAATCACTGTAGTAGGCAAATACGGAGAACATTGCGGAGATAGTCAGCAGCAGCAGTGACACAATAGATCTGCTCTCCACGATCTCACACCAGCCCGATACTTAGTAAGAGGAGGAACCATTGCAGCAGGCAAATGCGGAGAATATTGCGGAGATAGTTAGTAGCAGCAGTAACACAACAGACCTGCTCTCCACGATCTTATATCAGCCCGATACTTAGTAAGAGGAGGAATCACTACAATAGGCAAATGCGGAGAACACTGCGGAGAACATTGCGGAGAAACTAAGCGATAATAAGGCCACCATTATCAAGAACACGGCTCTGCTCTTCAAGATCTCACGTCATATGCTCTCCACGGTTCCACATAAAATTTTTATTAAAAAAAAGGGAAAAATAACAAAAAAATCCCCCCCTTTTTTTTCAAACCAAAAAAAAATTTTATAATATAATTAAAAAAAATTGCAATGAGCATATAAGAGAAGGATCTACCATATAAGAGAAGGATCTACTGCGTCGATCATAGTTAATTGGACCTCTGTAGGCAAGGGTCACCTATCGGACGATGCATATTTGGACGAATTGAAACCGTCCGATGTGTCGAAATGTGGCCCCCGCGCATCCCAGCCACCATATTTTCCAGCCACCTGATTTTGTACTGTATTTAGGACCTGGCCCCGGAGAGGTTTTGAAGAATCAATCCGTCCGTTCTTACACATCACATACCTGATATTCTAACACGATGTCTTGTTTCGACAGCCATTTTATTATTCGAAAGCTTTCACTGCGGTAGGAGATACTCGTAAGATATTGATACCCACCACATTAATTAGCCTGATATCTTTAATCCTTTTCGATATTTTGATACTTCTTACTATAAGAATATAATATTTCTCTGTTTTTTTGTAGATAATTATTATATACTTAACTGAGGGAACGTATTTATAACGTAATATAGTAGCGATTATAGTTTAATAGTCTAGTAATATAACTATAAAGATCGTTATAACGAGAGCTCTATTATTAAAGAAGTTTATAATATATATATATAGTAAAAGAAGAAGAATAAGTATATTTAAAGAGATTTATAACTCTTCGATAAAGATTTTATCGAAGTCCGTGATATTATCTATCGGGTTAGCTATAGAAGAATAGAGCTATTCTTATTTTAAATTATTTCTTTTAAAAAAACTACTAAATCTCTATACTTCTTATTATAAGAATATAGTCTTTCTCTATTTTTTATAGATAATTATTACGAATTAATTCTTTATACTTAATATATCTTTCTAATTAGATCTTAGCGCGCCTCTCTTCGTATATATATATCTATATATTATATAGATTAAATTAATTTTATAATAGTAAAAGTAGATTAAAAACGTATAGTAAGCGATTAGAGTTCGATTTAACTTAGAACTAGAGCTAAAATTCGATTTAACTTAGAAAAATTCAACTTTATAAATTTAATTCATAGGTCTTTACGAAGTACTTATTTCTTATATAATTATTAAAATTTAGATTTTTTTTAGAACGTTATAAGTTATCGTTGTGAGGCTATTTAAGAAAAGCACTTTTTCTGTTTTTTGAAGGGGGGTGTTAAAATCGCGATTCTAGTTTCTTAATGATTAAGAAAATAGGGGTAAAGTACTAGATTTACGGTTCCTGTGCGGATGCTTTTATACATTTCCACGAGTTTACGGTCAAAATTCTTTATATGTTTCTAGAATCTAATTAAATCTGGATTTATCACCTGTAGTTTTTCAATTGGCGTGAAACCCCAGATCCATAGCGTCCAGTTACACATCCAATATACTACTATTAGCCCCTCACGCTCCACGGGCTAGGTACCGTGTGGTGTTTCTGCAAAGCTCTTCCGCCAGTCAAGCTGTTGGAAGAATTGGCAGTAGTAAGTGCTCTACATCTTGCATACCCAAATATGGGTAGGAGTCGCTCAGTAGGATATTCCATGAGCACAGAAGCTTGTCAAGCTTAAGCGGTTTGGTACCATCATAAAGCCACCCCTCTTGGTAGCGCGCATGCCACAATTCGCAGCAAGACACGACGACTGTAGATTCAATGCGTCTCCCAGTCTCCCAACGTCTGATCTATTTCTGAATATATATGCCCCTTTTCCAAGCGGGCCGTCCGAACAGCTTTTCCTTCAAAGCGCACCCGCTGAGCAACAGACGCCTGTCAGATGCAGATGTAGGCTCAGATATGAAGCCAGATATGAGGGCAAACGACACGCCAGAATCAAATTATATGACTAAAAGTGAACATGTGTGAAGTATCGTATGTAACTCCATTCCAGAGAAATCATGCCAGATTGGCAACTCAAACGTCGACCAAAATTCCACGGTGGCTCCAGCCTACTCATCTTTGCCTTCCGGGTTGTCTTGCGGATGATGTGAATCGTCCTGCCCAGGATTTGCCTCCTCATAATTGTTGAACTTGACAAATCTGTAGTATCCGCCAGAGATCAGAGCACCCAAAAACGGCCCAACCCAGTATATCCAATGGTAACCTGGGAATTCCGCAGTGGCAACACACGGACCGAATGACCGGGTAGGATTGAGAGAGCCTCCGGTAAAGTATACACCTGCCATGTGCGTCAATCGTTGTTCACGACTTCGGTCCTGTTCTATTGATGAGCATACCTGCAAGTTCCGCCACAAACAAGGCAAGCCCGATGCCCACTAATAGAATACTCAGGATCAGCGGTGCCTTTCTGGGCAGATTGGAGGTACAGGGCACCAGAAGGGTGTAGAATGGAATGAGCTCCTTGGAAAGCACCTACCTGGAGCGATGAAAGTTGCTTTGCTCTTCTCGGCAGCCAACATCAACACCGTGAAGACAAGTTCTGCTGTCAAAAACATCTCGATGAAGACTCCCTGGGCGATGGATGTTCCATTGGTCAAAGTTGTAGTGAATGCAGGTGGACCGGGAAACATGCACCGGACAAGGGCCGCTGCCTGCACGTTTCTAAATCAGCATGACGTCTTAGGGATATGAATACGGTTTGCAGTATAAGTCCAGCCGCGTCGTTGGTTGTTTCGATCGGAAAACGGGCCTCGCTACTCACCACTATCCCTCCAAGCATCTGAGCGGGGAAAAGGAGCGCACCGCGAAGCGCTGGGAGAGTCCCTGTAATGCTAGTTGTTCTACAGCTTAGCATTCTCTTCTCGAGATGGGAGGCTGTAGGGAAATAAAGGGCTGGAGAAGTATCTTACACCATACCGAGCGTCACTGCGGGATTGAATAGTCCACCGCTGATTCTGTAGAAAACCCAGGCAGTGACAGCGAGGGAGAAGCCAAAGCCAAGGCTGATGAAAAGAAGCTGGTCGACTGTGCGAGATCCGTTGGGGTCTATCGTGTCTAGTCGAGGATCTCTTGTCAGTCTTTCCCGTTCAATGGCCTCGTTCAAGATTCCCGCAGATTAACAGACGGATCTCAGGGCCCAAGAATTTTTGGACAGGGAGGAAGTATGGGCTTGATATTTGACGGACTGGCAATTTGAGTGGCAGCGAAGGCAAAGTAGAGGAACATGAAGGTGCCGACGAATTCCCCCGACATGGCGACCAAATGTCCTCTCACATCCTTGCCTAGGTATGCACCGTTATCCTGCTTATTACGCTCCACGTCCCGGTCTCTTGGGGGCGGAGGATCGCCCTTTGGGCGACGAAGAGGGTTCTGCATCAAGACGTATGATCAATGAAGAAAGGATGGAAGTCAGCAGAAGGAAGGGAGGCAAATGCTCGAATGGAGTGAGAGGGGGTAGGTGTGAAGAAGGGGTGAGGTATTTTGGAGCAAAAAAAAAGATGTTGAGGGCTAGATGAAAGGGTCATTCTTGGGTGGTGCGTCACCTCAGCGAAGGCTTGAGGCGTAAAGTAGGTGTGGGCGGGTCATGGCAACAGATAATTTACAGGGCCATTTCACCAAAAAACGCCATAAAAGCTTGCTTCAGCCTTCAGGCATGGATCCCTCGGATCTGAATCCGCTCCAAGCCTCCACCATCCTCTCTTCCAGCACATTTATCCCCCGAAACATGGTCAAATCTAGCCCAAATCTGAGATGACAGGGCTGGAGCATTTCCTGATTCGTTCGACACGGCACGGCAAGCAGTCCTCGCTCATCAAACTACCGGTTTTTAGTTCATCCAGCGGTCCAGCCCCTTCATATTTAAAGTAAAGAAATAACTAATAATACATAAGGTAAGGTACTTATTATTTTGTGCTGAAGACTACCGAAGAGTCTAAACGTACATGTAATGAAAGACATATAAGAAACGTGTTTGAAAGGGCAAGGTAATAACCGTAAAGGTAATTGACCGCAGCCACACCGTTCCACACCGTTGGTTGACACGTCGCGGAATGCGCTGACTGTCACCGAGAATGTAGCATACTGGACTACGGTACGTCATCATACCGGTACTCTACTTTAAAGTACTTGCTTGCTTGCATGCACGCACTTCCAAGGCTCGGGACATTTTTGGTGACAGGGGCTGTCTGAGCTCGAGGTCTAGGCCTGACCAGAACGGGGATAAGGTAAAGCAGGGCTTAACACCGCTACCAAGCGAGCAAGCTTCTCCACTACCTCGCTTAGGAATAACCCTAGTCCCTGGGTCTCATGGTGATGCGGACATAAACCGGTTCGATAAAACCTAAGTATGCTATTGGTACGTACCTTAGTTAACGAAACTACTCGTAGCTGCCAAAGAAATAGCACAAAAAAGGCAGTCGAAAGGGTACATATCTTCAAAATTCCCTTCCAACATGCACGAAGAGTTCCTTGCGCTCGTGGTGTCTCACCTCCTTTCTGAAACCATCTGATCACGGACGACACTCTATTCCGCGTTGATAACTACCCAGATCTGACGTGGAAATAGAAGAGGGTTTCGATTGCTCAGGCCGTCACTTTGGTGGACTGCTTGCCTGTACCCTGCAACTCTACCTTAGCAATAGATAATAGCTACTCAATATATCTCCTTTCGTGGCAAGTCACACGCGCTGTTTCCCTGACCAACCGAATCTTACCCGTAAATGCCCGACAACCCATCACCATGCTCTTCGCAGCCCCGGCTTCTCAAGACGCTTTGTGGTTCAACTATAAGGAGGTCTTGCTCGTATTGCTCGTGCCCATTACCTGATCTATGTAGAAAAGCGAACTTTCGCTGTTGTTCGGAAGCGTCATGGCAGCCATGCTTCAAGAAGCCATCTCTGTTTGCCTTATATCGCTCCGCGCTTCCATCTAGTATAAACAGAGTCTAGCCACCAGGCGGTCGTATACACCCGGCCCAAGTGTATACTTCAGAAGACACATGAAGAAGATTGAGGATTTCCGCCGAATACGTTGCGCCAGCCCCTACTCTGATATACATCCGATGGTTGATTCATGTATAAGTACAGCCATAACAAACGACATCTTAATACCGTAATTTCCCAACAATAGAGAACGTGTACGCCGTCTCGGCTTCACTTTTCATCTTGTGAGAAAGTCAGCACGAAGTCTTCGACAGATCTTTTTGACTGGAGAAGTTTCACATACCTGTATCATATAGACCGTGGCCCTGCCACCTCCCACCCCACCAACAGCGCCTACCACGCCGACCTCTCCATTCGGCCCGATCACATCCTCCCATACGCTCAACGCAATACCGGTCCTTGCCACCCTCTCAAAACAGCTCTCTCCTAACTGTACATCCAGCAACACCTCTCCTTTCGTCTTCCCGTGCACTAAGATCCTCTTCTCGTTGAGACCTTGGTGCGCACTACTCAGTGGTCTGCCCTCAGGTCCCACGTTGCTTCTGTCGGGCCTCATGATCGTCAAGCGTGCAGAGCCCATGTCACGCCACTTGGATGCAGTCTCGCGAATATAAAGGCGAATTTTAGCGTTGCTGAGGCCAATGGGCGCATCCTTACCAGCAGTGATCATCCCTGGAGGGATAGGCGAGCTGGTACCACTACCACTGGAATTGTCAGAGCTCGTATAGATACTGCCTTCGCGAGAAGTAATGGTACTGCGTGAAATGTTGAACATGCCACTGCCCCTGCCGAAGCGCTTGAGGGCGGAAAAAGCGCTCGACATGCTACCTACGCTGCTGTCGCTGGGTGCAATGCTAGGTGTTGGGGCGCTGCTAGCACGGTAGCTGGAAGAGCGACCCCATCCACCAAACCAGCTGGACCTCGAACCGCCGACAATGGTGCTAGCTCGTCGATTCGAAAGCGGGTTGCCGGAACCGTAGGGACCCCTTGCATTTTGAAGGGCAATGAATGTGGGATTGTTGATGCGTGAGTGATTGATCAATGCATAAAGTGCTTCACACTCTTCTGGATTGCGAGAGCGAAACATGATGTTGTTGCCTGAAGTGATCTGGGCATTGGGCGTTGGAGGCGAGCGGATAGAAATATCAAGGGCAGTACCACGGCGAAGTGGAACCAGAGGAGTCAGCTCCAGGCCGACCAGAGGACGGTCTCCCTGGACTTCGTCATTCTGACTCGTCAAATTAGATGCGAGGTCCGAAAAAGCATCCATGTCGACAACAGGGGTGGAAGAAGAAAGTGGCACATCTTTTGAGTGAGCAGCAGACATTTCGTAGGCCTCGATCAGGCCAGGCGTGATCACAATGCTGCATTCATCGGGGTGTAGACTTTGCCAGGAGCCTGTGTCCGACCACGAAAAGATTGAGGCGATGGTCTTTGAAGCCTTTGACGGTTGAGCCGGTACCGTCTTGTAGGGAGCTTGAGAGGCTGATTCCGAGGGTTTGATAGTACCATCTGGGGTTGAATGCACGGATGTCCTGGGAGCGACCTTTGGACGTGAGAGACTCTTCAAAGCCCCAAGAGGCATCAAAGGGGTCGGAGCATCGCCTTCCTCCAACTCTTCGTCTTCAGACGAGTCGGACACCGACGTTGCTTCATTGTGCTCGACGGTAGAAGTCTGCGACTCAGAAGAACTTTCGGATGCCGTTGATGGCTCGTATTCATGCTTCAAGGGTGACGAGGACCGTCTCGGCTTGAAATGACTCTTTCCAAGGACCGGAGTCTTTGCTTCGTTCAGCTTTGGCGAATGGTGACCGGACACTGGTGATGGAGAGAAAGCTTGCGGGACGTCGACCTTTGAAGATACAGGACGCTTCTTGCCCAATCCGGAAGGAGACACTGGCTCCACTGAGGCAGAAGGTGTAGGCCATTGCGGCTCCTCTTCCGGTTCGGCTATGGGTGTTGTGGGCGGGCTGTTGTTCCGTGCTTTCGGAATGAACGGAAGTTCCATCGAGGGTACTGATGATCGTGATCGATGATAAGACGGCCGAGTATTTTCCTTCTGTTGATTATTACCTGACTCGGGGCTGAGGCCTGCATGTTCTTCACCCAGCTCTGGCGACAAAGAACGTATGTTGGAGTATTTGTTCTGTGAATCCACTATTGGGTTTTGAGCAGTAAAGACATCTGAAGATGGTGTTTGAGACTCGCTACGACTGCGGGGCGCATCCATCGACTTCGGACTGGATGGTGAGCTCTTACCATGCCTCGATAGCCTCTTAGCTCTGGCGCGTTTGAGTCCAACAGAGGTGCTAGTACCGCTTAAGCCCAGCGCTTCCTTGAAGCTTCGCGGTGTACGAGTCGGCTCAGAGGCTGTGGTGTCACGGTTTCGGCTTTGACTAGGAAGTGAACGAAGATCGTTGACCTGGTCCACATAGTTGTTGGATGATCTTGATGGAGTGTTTGGAGGAATGCTGTGGGACTGGTTATGTAACATGGCTATTTCTCTTGAAGACGGGGTGACATGTGAGCCGGGCATTCCAGAAGGCAGTGGCTCTGTCCAAGTCTTGGAACCGTTATTTCCTTGTTCACCGATGGGGATCTCCACTTCTCTTGGACTCGGCGTCCTGCTCTTACTCGGCGCGCTGGAGGTGATAGGAGGCTCAGGGCCTGATTCGGACTTCATCCGCTGATGTCGGCCAAGAAAACTCTGAGATCTCATGATCCTTGGAGGTATGGGTGTTAAACCGAGCATTTGGACCCACTCAAAGCCTGCTTGTTCGTCTTCAGATCTCAGCGAGAACAGCTCCTGCCACTCTAACCTATTACCACCGGCTCCTCTAATCATGATAACTATTTCGCCCTTAAGGTCTCCATTCCGAGCCGATACAGTACCGAGTTGGACGGGCGGGAACAGTAGCCAGCGGCCTGTTGCGTCGACCTCACAGATGAGTAAATCCCTACTACCGTCACCATCAGAAGCCTCGTCACGAATGATGAGCTCGACGCGACAGTCCACACGTTGCCCACTTGAATGCTGAAGAGCGAGGTTGAAATGGTCTCTAGCTCGAACACGACATGTTCTATCAATGGCAACACCAGTCAATGGGGCAAGAGTCCTTGGGTCTCGAGCCCGGGTGGGATCAATGTTAGAAGCCGCCTCATCTTCCAGCCGCGCACGTTCTTCGTTTGAGCGCTGCCTAGCGTCGTCTACAAGCTTCTGATATTTCGTAGCGAGCAATTCAGCTTCTGCCGAAGACTTGATAAAGTTTATACCCTTCAATGTCTTTGCCAGGTACTTGAGCCTGACCAGTGGTCGCTTCAGAAGGAAAGCAACATCAACTCTTTCGCCATCTCCGTTGACCACATCTCCTTCTTCATTTCTTGGCAAGCCTTCATCGAGTCCCATGGACTTCACTTTTGGTGAGCCGGACACTACGGAGGTGCCCTCCAAAGCAGGGGCAAGGTTGACCACCACATCCTGGAAGCCCATGCGCCAAGCCTTCAAGTACTCTGCGTAGACTCTCTGAGCTCCATGTGCCCAAGTGAGTAAAGCTACAGGGTCTTCCTGTGGTATGCGTTTGTGTAACGTTTTCAAGCGCTCGAGCGCGATACCCATGTCTATAATAGGCCTCGTAAAGTTTGGGTCCTCGTGAGTATGGGCCGAGGCACTAAAGAGGCCAGCTGCAACAGCAGAATCTGATTTTGACAAAACACAGGTTAACAAGACGGGAATCACGCCATCGACCAAAGTGCGCAGCTCACGCATATACTTGCTCTCATCGGTAGCCAACTCTTGCATTAAGTCCCCAATAGTTGCGGTGGCAAGTCGACTTCGATTCGTGCGGATGCTTCGAGCTGATTGGATGCTTCTGTTTCCTGCCTTTGGTAATGACAAGACAGATATGAGATCAGCATGTTTGGTGAGGCGACTGTTCTTTCGCTTCATTGAGTTCAGATCAAAGTGGTCCCTTGCCTCGTCGACAGCTGCGTCTTCCTCGATAGGAGGCGGACGAGCTGTATATCTAGAAATCTCAGACACGGAAGGCGGTGCAGCACCCTGGCTTGTATCGAAAGTCTCAACAGAGGCAATGGTAGAAAGACGATGCTTTCCCGTAGAAGGAAAAGGGCGCTTGGAGTTGAGTCCGGGAGGTTTGAGAGGATTGTTGGGGTCCGGTCCTTCCACAGAGGATACAGTATGACTCGATGACAGCACCGACTCGGCATCGTCTTCTTTGCTAGGCTCTTTTGGATTAAACGATTTTCGTCGGTCACGAACTGGTGAAGATACACTGTTTCTCGCGGAGCGCCTTTTGAGTGACGACGGCGACGTCTCTGCTGCCTCTTGGACAAGGTCCACAAATTTTGACGCAGATGTCGTTCCTTTGCCCGAGCCCGATAGCGCAGAATCAGAGTCAAAGCCGGCTGGAAAAGGATTATCTTCGTAGATAGCTGAACTTGGAATCCTGTTCCTTCTCCTGCTTCCGTGGACGGCTCGTCTCGTGCCTTCCTTTGTGTCCAAGGCTTCCGATATCCTGGTGCAATCTTCTCTCACTTTCTCTTGTAATGCCACTTTTCTCTTCTTGGTTGATGAATTTAGAGGTGGGATAGCCTCAAGAGGAGGCTCGTCTGCGTCAAGGAAAGGATCTGGAGTTTCGTTCAACCAGGCTTCAATGCTTGGAACCCTCGGGGTAGCTGTTGGCTCCGGTACCTGCTTTACGAAGAGTTTACGAGAGTCACCAAAAACTTGGCTCAAGAGATTGCTTTTCTGCGTTCGGACGCTGCGTCTGCTGTCAGACATTGCACCTCCTGTAGACCGAGGAGACTCGTCTAGATCTTCTGCTTTCTGACTTTCCGACCTGTGTCTCCCAGAGTCCTCTTTCGCCCCGGAAGAGCTGATTCGTAGTGACGCTTCCGGCGTGGGACGTTTTCTTCGTCCCGTTGATCCAGGAGTAGGACTAGCTTTCGGGGCTTCAATGTCATGCCCAATCCCCTTTTCGCTCCCCGAGCGCTCAATTTGCCGTCGATGATGCTGTCCCGACTGCCTCTGCGATCTAGGTGGTGTGACGTAAACCCTGATGCCATCGTCGCCGCCAGAACCTTCACCCTTGGGTGTTATACTGTTATCTTCTCCTCTCCGTTTTTCCGGTGTCATTAGCTCTGATGCTGGCTTCACTCTAATATTGTCGTCTGGCTGTGCCAATATCGGAGATGTGTCTTTCATGGCCTTAGATAATGCTATAGTCTTTGATGGACTTTTCTTCTTCCGCCAATGCCCATCACTTACCACGCGCTTTGCTGGGGCGCTTCCACTTCGATCACGGTCTCTCTTTTCCCCATCTGCTTTTACAGACCTTCTGCTGCTTCTGGTTGGCGTATTGTAGTCATGGTCGTCTTTCCCTCTCCGCGACGACGTTCTGGGCTTGGACTCCTTTGTGGGCGTCCCGCTCTTCGTAGCGTGTTTCTCCAGTTGCTGGTTCTCTTCCACTCCGATGTCATCTGCCACAACGACGCCTCCTCCTTGAGCCTGCCATTGCCGAACTCGGTCTCGCACCGAGTTGTTATCGTAGACTCCCAGCGGTTTGCCGACGTCAGTCGTCTTTGTTTTGGAGGGCGTAATGCTATGGTCGCGGCGTGTAGAAAAGCGGCTTGGGGAAGAAGGCATGGACATTTGGCGCTATATGGAAATCAATTGAAATTCTCAGGGAATCACGGTCTGCGCGCACATAAATCTCAGGTAGTTCTGAAGCGAGAAAACAGCATTGATAGTGTTGTACGCGTTGTGTTTACGGACCTTTTGCAAGCTTCATCTGTGATGGTTTATTAGAGTTGGTGGCTGACAGCTGGACTGCGCGCTTGATCTTTACCGAAGTCTTGGGCTACGCATGGGACCTAGGTACTTTATCTTCCCATGAAAGGTCGATGTCTCGAATTTCTCAGATTCTAGTGTCAGGTCCAGGTCGAGTTCCATAGCAACAGCCGGGGAAACAATGCGCCACTACGCCACACCATCCCCCTTTGCAAAAATTAATTGCCGATTTTCAGCCCTACCGCCACCCACAAATCCGCAACTGATTTTTGCAGGGGCGAGTGGCCTAAAGACGCTCTTTATTAGGATAATTGCGATTGCAGCAATAATCTTAAGAGTCCCGCAACCCGTAGACTTGCCCCTTGCAGCACGACCACAATGTATGGAAGGACCAGTCTCCCTCATTCAATTCTGTTGGGCAGGGTATACTACTAGGACAATCGAGGCTCTTTGACGCCAGCAAACAGCATATATATCATTAAGACCCCTATGTTCTACGGCGGAGAGAACACCGATGCGCCAAGCTATGTAGTGAACGTAGTGAACACAACGGTAATGAAGGACCGAGTTCTTCGAAACACGGACCTGGTCAAGACACAGCTCTGCAGGCGGACACTATTGATATCCCAGACCTCAGTTCGATTTCTTAAGGTGGCCGTTGCCCTGTGCCTTTCTGGTCTGCTGGTCCAACACTTTGAACGCCTCTGCGCTTTCAGAGATACTGCTGTAGAGCAAGACTACAGAAGCGGTGTTTAGTATCGTTTCTCTCAACTCACATGTTTGGACATTTGCACTTACTGCCTGGTATCACAATCCAGATGAAGTTCATGAAGAAATAATAACCCCAGAAGTAATACGCTTCTGGCCGACAATATGTCAGGCCCTTACCGTAGTGATCAAACATGCTCGTAGCGTAATAAAGAATATCTCCATAGATCTGGCCCATCGAGACTAATGCTTGTAGAGGGTGACGGAGAGGATGTTCATAGGTGATGAGCAATGCGACAGCGAAGGACATGGGACCCCAACAGACCTAAATCCGACATTGTCAGCGTTTCTTGTTTAATTTTTAAGTTGGAAACATGATGGATGATGGAGGAGCGTACCGCCGTAACCGTCTCCATGCATAAGACAAAGGACTCAGAAGTCAAGTACCTCGAGTCCGAGAACGAGTACTCCTTCCACAATTGTCCGAATAGATCCTGCTTGCCAGGCATGTTCGCGTGGTTGAAGGCAAAGTATCCTATTGTTTTGCTCAGCGTTGGCGCGCGTACGATGTATTGTTGCTCTTACCCTCGAAGAAGAGATGAATGGTCCCAGCTAGCGCACCAGAGTATCAGCAAGCTGCTCCCCAAAAGCGCGCGGAGTTTGTAGAAAGCTTGTGTACGTACTTAGAACAAACCACAGTATGGTCGCTTTGTCCCGCGAAGGCAGATTAGGGTTGTGGCTCCGGACCAAAGCGAGGGTGATGCCCAGTATCACAACCCACCCCCCTGCGAATATGCCCAATAGAGTCGGTACGGACCATCTGTTAGCTAGATAGCCCACGATGTTTGCTTCGAGTGGGTAAAAGGGATGGATAGCCTGGGGTAGGCTTGTGGAATTGAGGATGTAATCTGCCATTATGGTCGGATTGAAAGTGGTATGTATCTGTAGAGAGAAGATGGTGTACGGTATACGAGTAGAGTACAGGGTGTGGGGACAGGCAAGATGGAAGTGAGGACGATGCCTACGGTTTGTAGGCTACAGCTGCGTTATTGAAAGGCAGACATGAAGCGTGTGAGTTGAGCAATAATAATGCTAACCCAACGTTCTAAAGCTGAAGCAGCTTCAAGCTCTAGAACCGGTTTTGGTTTTGAACGAGTATGAGACTAAGGTACGAGTAAGGTAAGGTACTCGTAGGCAATGATTCAAGGTAAGAGGTATTACTTAGGTAATGAATGCCGGCTGCGGCGCACCAAGGGGTATTATAAACTAGCGACTAGCGCCTAAGGTACTTCAGTGGCTTGCCGTGGCTGCCATATCCCATTGGTTACATGTACACTGTCGTAGGTACTCTCAAATCGATCCCAATCGTTGAATGACGTGACTCGGTTTTTTCTTTTGCTTTGGACGGCTCAGGGCATCCTTTTATACCCATGGCATCCCTGTTATTGGACACTTCCACATCCCACGGGAAAGCTTCTTGTAATGACGCCGGCTAGGGTATTAATAGGAAAGGATCAACCAACCGACACTCTTTACAATCCCTAACGTCTATAAGAACATTGCCTCTCAACCAATTGTGCAGACTGCCATATCATTGAGCAACAGTACGGCGTAAACATTGCCTTCGACTGCTAATTCCAGCACCGGTGATCTCTATCTTCGTCTACTTCGAACATGTCGAATAGACCCATCTTCGTGGCTACTCATCCCCGTTCATGCTCGACTGCTTTCGAAAGAGTAACTGAACTTCCCCTCCAACACTGGTCTTGGAGCAACAACTCATCTTACTGCAGGTGTTCATGACTCAACGCGACGCCCTCCATTGCATCCACGAACCATTTGGTGATGCCTTCTATTATGGCCCGGAGAGACTAAGTTCGAGATACGAGAGTGATGAGAAGGCCAGGCTCGACAGTGGCTTTGCCCAGTCGACCTTTCGCACAGTCCTGGACAGAATTGAGAAAGAGGGTGCCGAGGTCCGAAACACCCCTTCTAGTGTAGCTTCGTTCTCTGCAGCACCCTTCGTCGTTGCACAGTACTGCAAGTAGATGTGGTGTTTTCATACAGCAATCCTTGAAGTCTTTGGCAATCCCTCTATTCTTAACATCCATGCCTCAGCAGCTGTCTTCGCTGCCCTATCTTGGGATCTGTCCCTCGTCAGGCACAATTCTGGATCGGCTTCCTTTTATTATCTGACACGATTGCATTTCCTCTTTTTGAACTATGCCTTTTTCTCGTCTCGAGATACCCAACCTAGTTGCGACGGCAAAATTACACACTTGCTTCTAGGTCCAAGTTCAACGCATTTCGACTATGATATACTTACCCTAAAATAGGGCAAGCGTATCTTCATCAAGGACATCATACATTATCTCGTCCCTCCGAATGGTGCACCACCGTCGATCGCTCCTTCTTTGGCCAGAAAGGAACGAGGCATTGGTACGTTCGAGCCTCACTCCAATGATGTGGCCAGCGTTGCGCCGCTTGCTCCTAATTCGTACGCTACTGAACCCGAGCTTCGAAACCCAACGGTAGTTCCAAGCGAAATGTTAGGCCAATTCCATTTTACCTTCCTCATCCGCCATCCACGCTACAGCATTCCTTCTTACTATCGTTGCACTGTTCCACCACTTGATGAAGTCACTGGATTCCACAATTTCATGCCTTCCGAGGCCGGTTATGACGAGCTTCGGCGCGTCTTTGACTTTCTGCGTAGTGTTGGTCAGGTGGGCCCTGAGATTGCATCTCAGAACATCCATGTGAATGGAAGCACGAACGGTAATGCCAACAGAGTGGACATCTGCGTTGTCGATGCAGATGATCTACTCGATAATCCAGCCGGGATCATTGCAGCTTATTGTAAGAGTGTGGGAATCGGGTACCACGAGCAGATGCTCAGTTGGGACTCCGAGGAGGACCAAAAGCAAGCCAAGGATGCCTTTGAGAAATGGAAGGGCTTTCACGAGGATGCCATGAACAGCTGCGATCTTAAACCGCGGAAATACGTAAGTAATTCAGCTTTTCATCTAGTAAAGAGAGGTTCCCATGGCCTGGAAGTCTCTGTTCCTCTACCCTTCTTGTTCTTTTCCTCTTAAGTTTTTGACCATAGCTGAATCTTGTGGCCGAAAGAAGAAGAAAGCAAAGAGCGATGAAGAGGAAGACCGCGAGTGGGTCCAGAAGTTTGGAACGGAAGGAGCGAAGGTCATCCGGCAGACGGTCAATGCAAACTTCAAGGACTACGAATACCTCAAGCAGTTCGCCTTGACAGCCTGAACCATCGTGTTGGTTTGAGTCAGAGGTCTCCGCTCTTCCACAACAGACAATCGACACGCAAAGCTGAAGCGCAATATGCTGGAGATTGGGTAGCTCGAGCATAGTCCAGCACAATAGGAAATTCCCTCATTGTCTTCTCACTATCAAAGGAATGACTGACATCATGAGGACATTATCTGTAGATGCTCTTGGGGCCTCGAAAAGCTAAAAACCGATATGCAATAATGTACGACACGTCTCGATTCGTTCGTCTGGTTTTAGGCGAGCAAAACCTAGGCAATTCTCATCCCGTCTTCTCAGAATCGCTTTTGGACCGTGCGGTATCGCCTTGTTGTTAGTAATGCTTTAGGGATGAGCCGTGATATATTTCAAAGATTACTCCGCTCCTCTACCCGACAGGCCATACATAGAATGTTCTTCAGTAGGGAAAGCCATCCGAAGTCTAGTCAAGCCTAACATACCAATAGCTCTACCGTGCAATGTTGAACCATGATGTCTTTATATCGATACAAGTCTAAGATGTTGGCGGACACGCCCATGCTATCCCAATGACCACCTCAAAATGCCTACAACACCTTGCTGTACAATGCCACAAATCTTTTATCGTGATATCCGCACGACGCCAATGCAAGCCCAAAATGGCAGCAACGCGTCCCTCTATAGCCCGCATTTGATGGGTATCATGCTCCCCCCCAACGCCGAATGTATCAAAGACAATTCAGCCTAATCGCTTTCATCGGTGAAATCGTCAGCCGTCTCTTCCTTCTTCTTCTCCCCAGTCACCCATTCTGATTTCCATTTCGTGGGTCCCTTATCAGCTAACCCTAGATGTGCATTGACCCTGGCGGATATTTGAATCGCATTGCCGGCGACAATCTTCTCCTCTGTGACCTCGTGTCCAAAGGAGAGGCCACCTCCCGAGTGCTTGATGTTGGTTTTGGACTCTGTCATGCTGATGACCTGCGGCCATGTGCCCACGCACCGAGTCGTTGGGTCGTGTTCACAGTGATCCCACAGTTTCAAATCGATAGGCGAGTTGGCTTCCTTGAATAACTTCTCAAACTTGCGTGCTCCCGCAAGACTCATGGCGTAGGAGGTGGTGCAGACGGTTTTGCGGGGTTGAAAGACGATCCGTGTACCTGGAGGCCGATGCCCCTCTGCAGGCCTTTCGCCAAAATTCCAGGCATGATCTTCATCGGCTGCGGAGGAGTCGTTGAACGCATAGATACGACCGTCGCCGTCGGCATTGATACCGCAATGCCCAATCCACATGAGATCCCATTTATCTCCGTACGGGCTTAGTTCTTTGGAAAAGTCTCGAGGGTGTTGAGGGTCAGGGAATGGCCAATCAGCGATCGCTTTCACTCCATCGCCTACTCCAACCATGGTGTCTTTGATCCGCATATCCCAATCAACGTCGCTTTCCATTATCAGGGCGGTCGAGATATTTTCATGTATCATCCTGCATTGACCGTCAGAACTTCCCAACGGAGGTGCAGATTCGGTGCGACGGCTTACTTTCTCCACGTCCTCACATGGGACATGAGGCAGCCTAGTTCCCCGTCCTTCGGCACCCAATTGTTCGTTCCCCACCACTGACAACTCCATCAACAATGAGGAAACCGCAACAGCATGGTGGTGACATACCTGAGGCCAATCCGATTGGGGTATTTGCCTGTCTCGTATGGCATCGAGCACGGTGAGTGTGAGGTTTGTCGCATTTGCCGCGGCGAGGAGGGGTGTTCTTCGGTCACCTCGTTCTGGTAGAGAAAGGACGAATATGTTCTGGAACTGGTCTTGCTATTAGCCATCCCCGGTAGTAATATATTCTTCCAGTAGACTCACCCCAAGTGTGTTGTTCCTTATTGAGCTGACCTCGACGACTGGGACTGGCAGGCGGCGGGTCGCAACATGCGAGCAAACATCCCGTATAATATCTTTCCAGAATAGAAGGAAAAGTAGAAAGGCGAAGATGATGAACGCCCTGGGGTTCCTTGTGGGTAGACTGCTCTTGCCTTGGAAGTTAATTGTCGGAAACTGGATGTTGAGCAGGCTGAGCCGGTAAGAGGAGAGGGACTGTAACGAGTGTACTTTCTGAGGCAGGTTTGCTAAAGTGGATTTGATGTATTCTGACATTGCGTGGAGATGAGGAGGGAGAGGGGCCACCTCGAAAAGGAATCCAGAAGGGTCCAGTACCCGGGGAGGAGGTGGAAGATAACAACTTTCTACGAGTAAAGTGGCCTATTGTTTGAGTGGATGTTTTAGCGTTGTCGCCATTGACGGAAAGTGTAAGGTAGGTAAGTGGCAGCGAGGGGGCAAAGTTTTAGAGCTTACGTTTCCAACATCTAAGCCTGCCTGCCTGCCCAGAGGATTATATTTGCATAAGGAGTGAGATTCGGCCAGCGAAGTAGTGTGTGGAGTGATGAGGAGGAGTGTGGAGTGTAGTCAAACCATGACCCTCATGCCCAATAGGCACGTGGGCAGAGAATGAAAGAAGTTTGTCAAGTGAGTGAGTGAGTGAGTGAGTACTGGTAGTTATTTTAGTATTATGCAAGGTCAGCAAGGATGCGAAACATGTGAAACTCAGGGGTCAGACCTGCGCCTCTTGCCCAGTGCCAAGACTCTTGCTAGCTACCGGAATAGGGCTGATGAGCCTACTCAAAGAAAAAGAGTGCCGCCACCAAACGTACGCTTACCTGAGCTACACCTCGCTTAGTAGTGGCGGGAGAACCCCCTAAGAGATTTCGGGCTGAGTGCCAAGACCCTAAATATTAGCGTCGTAGCTCACTTACTCGGGAGATTGACCAATCAAACTACTGAGTTCACCGCGGAAATCGTAGTTTGATTGGTCATACTTCCCGGCGCATTCAGCCACTTTTGGTCATATGCACGCCCCCATTCTTCGCTTCTCCCCTTCCTCCTACAAATCGATTTGATCAACCCTTCTGTCCACATCGTATGTATGCCACAATCCACCGAGAATTTGAATACGTCGTGTCCTGCGTGATAATTTGCCAAATGCTTTTGAGAAGCTTCCGTCTGGAAAGCTTTTCAACCCGTCTCTGTTGCCACTTTCATCAGGGGATCGTCAGCCTCGTTGTCTGGGTCAAGTAATGAAGATTAAGAAAACCCATTGCCATGTCTCACAACATTTGGGTGTTCTGAACCCGATCTTGTGCGTATATGACAATCAGAGCGAGACTACGCGTCCAAAGGTGTTGAAAGGTGGGAGCTGCCCGGGGATCATTCAAATGCGGAATGTTGTATGCAAAGCAGAAGGGAGCCGCAAAACCTAGGAGATATTACGAGCCCTTTCGATTTGGATCCATCGAGGAGGCCGGCAACCGATGTTCAGCCCAAGGAGCCTCTGCAATTGGAATGGACATTAGCTGACACTTCGTCGAGGATCTAGAAGCAGCCCGCAAAGCCTACCCCTAACGCCATGGTTGCTATTCTACAAAAGCGGCTTGCAAAGTACCAAAGGACATCGAAAGAGGCCCTCGCCAAGATCAAGGACGATGCATAGGATCGGGAACAACAGGTGAACATTGGCAGAGATGGAGCGGGCTCGAAAAGCGCAGAAGCGTGTGGATGAATTTATCGCGGCTTTGAGGGAGATGAATGATGGGACAAGTAGACCAAGAAGAGAGTGGGGGGGAGGGTGGGAAAGCACCTTCGCAACTGCATGTTCATAGTCGTCAAGCAGTGAGCTATACATATTGCGCCGAGTTGGGGAGGGGATCGCAGCCGCAACAGTAAATGTGTATGCAATTTCATGGTCGTGATTTTCTTTTTCCACGTTTGGATGTGAACTTCGTAGTGTAGAGAAATTCATCGCTTGTCAAAGCAACATGACCCTGTTTCGTAGTCCAGCTGCAGTCCTACCACTGCCTGATTCTCTTAGGTCTTTCTAGCAGACCGCGTGGGTCTTTCCAGTTTTGCCCTGGAGCGAATGCTTCTCACCCTTGTAGTGCTCGTTGTTCACCTTCGATTTTCCACTCGAGGTATGGTGCTTATTAACATGCTTGGTATGGTGTTCCACAGTGCTCTTATCCATCTGCTTCAACGACTCCATTGCTAACTTGATGTCTGCAATAAGCGTGTCACATCTTGCCCTAGAGAAGTCTTCACGCACAACGACCCTCATGAGCTTAAGTTTGTCGCTGTGCGGAGCCATGGTGTATGCAGGCACCACCCAGCCCCTCTCTCGCAGATGGTGAGCAACCGCGAATTCATCGAAGTGGTGTTGGTCCTTTGGGTTGAGCCTAAACGCCACAAGCGGCAAACCTTCACCCCCCTTCTTGCTCATGATCAAGAAACCGAGGTTCTCGAGGGCGGAAGCAAGGTAATCGGATGTACGGGTAAGATTGAGCATGATGGAGCGATAACCGTGCTTGCCAAGACGGATCATCTGGTAGTACTGGCCAATGACTTGGGAGGCGCCTTTGGAGAAGTTGAGGGTGAAAGAGGCTTGGTCGGCGCCAAGGTAGTTGATGTTGAAGACCAATTCTTTAGGAAGGTATTCGGGCGAGCGCCAGACGACCCAGCCGACACCGGGATAAACCTGGAAGACCATTAGCCAACAATCTCACTTAATCGGAGGATTGGGTATGCATACCAAACCATACTTGTGACCAGAGACATTGATTGAAATCACCTTCTCCAGACGGAAGTCCCAAGGTAGGTTTGGCACGACGAAAGGCGCTACGAACCCTCCGCTAGCAGCATCAACATGGATTGGGCAGTCGATGTTCTTCTCGACGAGGAGGTCGTTGATGGCTTTGACGTCCTCGTATTCTCCGGTATATGTAGTTCCGATAATAGCACAAATACCAATAGTATTTTCATCCACCAGATTGACGGCCTCCGCAGGATCAATTACGTAGCGATCCTCAGTGCAGAAGACGTAGCGCTCATCGACTTCGAAGTAGCGAGCTGCCTTCTCCCAGCACACCTGCACAGCGGAGTTCATGACAATGTTGGGCTTGGAGTAGTCCTTGCCGGCGGCTTTGCGCTTGTTTTGCCAGCGCTTCTTCATGGCAAGCGTTCCCAGCATCTGAGTCAGATTTAGCCATTGCAATTGGCCGAGTTGATTTGGGAATACGTACGATGGCCTCAGAAGATCCAACCGTGCTTGTTCCCATAGCGTTTTCGTCTTCGTCGTGCGTGGGTGCGTTGAACATCCTCGCAATCATTGAAACACAGCGGTTCTGAATGTCGGCGGTCTGCGGGTATTCCTCGTAGTCGATAAAGTTCTTGGGCAGGGCCTCAGCCATGAGCTTCTCGACTTCCTCCTCCTAAGCACAGCATTTCATGATTAGCACTGAATGCACCCGCAACCGGTTATACAAGCAGCATACCATGTATGTGGTAACGAAACTGGCCAAATTCAGCATGGGATTGCCGTCCAGGCTCAAGTCGTCTCTGATCATACGGTATGCAATCTCTTTAGGCATCTCATTTTCCGGCATTTCGTGCATAGGAAGACACTCGGCGGCGAAGCGGGAACCATAAACGGATGCAGTGACTTCATCTTCCCCGTTGTTGGGCTCAAGTTTGAGGTTCTCCATACCCTTGACCAAGGGAGCATTGGCCGCCTTGTCATTAGGAACGGAAGCGAGATGAACCATATTTGCTGTGTCTGGGCCTATGGGATTTTGAGGTGAAGGGTATTGAGGAGGAAAAGTATTCAATCAATGGGACTGGAACAATGGAAGTTTGGATGTAGGAGGAAGAAGGCAGGGAGGGAGGAAGGGAGTGATGAGGCAAGGAATGCGGAGGAGTGCCGCTGACGTGTTGAGCTTGATTCGCTTGAGCCTTGAGAGCTTCAAATTGCCAAGTAATGATCCTTGCGACGATCAGAAAGTCAGTTACTAGTACAGGTGCGGATGTGGGGAGGGTGGGGTGGGGGAATAAATTTCTTCTACATGTATTCTATCGTCCCACGTACTACGAGTATGTAATCTTAGATATCGATTGTGCATCCATATCTAATTCACAAATCAGAGAGCGTCCTCATTGCACGCTGTTGCGAGCCAATCTTTAGATTCTTTGGTCAAGCACACTTAGATTAGAGCCATCTCGCCATCAAGCAAACTCATTATTCACATGCTCAAGTAAAACCACGACTATGTCTGCATAGGACCATGAAACCGAGCATAACATCTTTCCCCTTTGTACACGCTGTTCAGGCTAAGAAGCCAAGCTTTGCATCATTTCGCCCGGTGACAAGACTTTCACAGGCCCCTTGATGCTTATTAGCGGCAACAGATAGTATGACAAAAAAATGAGTCTGAACGGTATGAGTTACTCAACTCAGTGGAACTCAAAGCCTCGAGACTCGGCTATCTTTGCAGGCGGGTCTTTGTGCAACTTGTTGTGCCCCGAGTCATGAGCGCCGTAGGCGTCGTGAGTCGTGGGACCAGATCCGATTCCAATAGGGGTATCGTGGACTCCCGATTGACTGCCATGCTCTCCCTGAAGCGGGTCGTAGCCGCTACGAGATCCAAGTCCAGTCGCACCCGCCCCAGCGGCCATCTCCTCTTCACCACGGCCAGGGTGTATGGCTCCTTGACGACGGGCTTCTTCCTCTTTGAGCTCCTTTTCGGGCTTGTCACGATGAAGGAACCCGAGAAGGCCACCGTGCTTCTTCTCCCCATGCTCCTGCTTCTTCTCGTCTTTTTCAATGGCTTTATCATGCTTCTTCTCATCCTTCCCCATGGCTTTCTCGTGTTTCTTCTCCGACTTCTCAATTGCCTTTTCATGGGCCTTCTCCTCCTTCGCGAGCTCTTTGTTGTGGTGCTTGACCTCTTTCGAGTGCTCCTTCTCGAGAGCCTTCTCTTCTTTAGCGTGCTCTTTCTGCAACTTCTCCGCATCTTTTTTAGAGTATTCGTGCTCAGCCAGACCACCCGCACCAGCAGCCCCGCCAAGAATTGCCGCATCTCTGCCGGTATGATGCTCTCGCGAAGTGTCTTGATAAGGCTCGGTACCGTAGCCAGCGGCGTCTCTCGGAGAGTGTTCGTGACCGGCTAAAGCACCAGTGCCGGTTCCTGCGCCCCCAACAGCTGCAGTATCTCTACCGATATGATGCCCGCGCGAGGCTTCTTGGTAGGGCTCGCTACCGTAACCAGCAACATCTCTATGGGAATATTCGTGATCGGCCAAAGCCCCGGCCCCGGCCCCGGCACCTCCTACAAGAGCAGCATCTCTGCCTGTATGACGTCCTATGTGATGTCTCTTTTCCGTATCGTTGCCATAATCAGGAGACGAGTAGGTTGCAATCGAAGCTCCGGGATGCTGATGCTCTTGCACCCGAGTTCCAAGATCAGTGGGCGCATAGTCTCTCATCTTTTGTGCCTCGTCTACTCCACCAGTAGCTCCAGCCCCAACACCGCCTGCAGCCAACGTATTACGTTCAGTGTGGTTTCCTGTCTGGGGCTGGCTCCCCTCACCGTAGCCAGAAGTTGGATAAGGAGAGGACCTAGTGGCTATAGCTGGTTGGTGGCCTGATCCGGCCAATTGGTCTTGCGGAGTCGCTGCAAGACCAGAACGGTTGCTAGAGCCAGAATGCTTTTCTGCTTCGTATGCACCAATACCACCGGCACCTGCTAGGCCAGCATCTCTCTTGTAGTGATGGTCGGAGGTAGTAGCAGACTGATGGCCGCTTCCAGCTGAGGAGACTGCAGATTCATCTCTCCCGTTCCCAGAACGTGTAGGATCCACGCGAGGGTCAACCCCTGACCCATAAAGACTCTGACCGCCCATGCCGGACGTATTGCTCGACGTTGCCAGGTTGGGTTCATCGCGACGATAGTGCTTCTCTGCCTCATACAGTCCGGCACCGCCAGCTCCTGTCAAAGCGGCATCGCGCCCGGCATGGTGGTGGCGACCTTGGGATCCGCCCATGCTTGCGGTAGTGCTTGACGTTGCCAGGCTAGGATCATTGCCACGGTGATGCTTTTCTGCCTCATACACTCCTGCACCGCCAGCTCCTGTCAACGCCGCATCACGCTCGTAGTGGTGGCCATCGCCGTGGGAACGTTGCTGCTTTGACAAATCGGAGTCGACGCGGGGGTCCAATTTGTTCAGCATGTCGGACTTATGAGGGCCAGCGGTCTTTCCCGTAGATGGCACACCTGTAGCAGTATGACGTTCATTATCGTACGCGCCACCTATACAGATTTTGTAGTCAGCATTCTTTCTTTAGAGTTGTAGCCCGAGCAATGGGACAAACAAAAAGGGAACCAAGATCGAAGAGTGGTCCAAAATAGGAAATGTTTGCCCCGATAATGCACATACCTCCAGTGGTATCAAGGCCGTGACGATCAGTGTTCGATGAGTCAAGTCCTGAAGATGTAGTGTTACCCGTGGTGCGCTGTTTACTACGGTCTGCCTCTAATGCCCCCATTCCTGCAGCACCAGCTCCACCTACTAACGCAGCTTCTTCACCACGGTGACCATGGTGGCCGTGATGATGATATCCACTGGAGTCACCAGTGGTAGCTGCACCCTCAATACCACTACCTACATGCGGGTCAAGTCGATTTGCCGTGTCTGTAATGTGAGGTCCGGAAACGAAGTGAGGCCCTTCCTGGCCGCCGACCTCTCCAATTTCGCATGGATCGCCTTCATACTGGTGGCCATGACGCTGGTGTTCGTGTTGCCAAGATTCAGGTCCATAGCCGATACCTGTGGTCGTTCCAGATCCCACAGCTCCTGCTCCTGCTCCTGCTTCTGCTCCGAGGGTATTACGGCCTAGGGAGCCTTGATTGCCTGAGCTTGGTGTTGCACCAGTACCAGAGCCATAACCACCGGAAGTTGACCCATAGCCAGTATCACCCATGGCACGAGAACCATCACTATCGACACGAGGATCGACTTTGTTGGCAAGGTTCGACGAGTGTGGGCCGGCAGTTGTAGAGCCATGACCATTGGAAGCGGAGTTGCCTCCGAGGGGAAACGAGCGGCCAGTCTCCGGGGCGTAATTGTCTCGCTGGGGATCTTCGTGACGGTGAGTACTGGTTCCAACGGCTCCGGCCCCAAGAGCAGCATCGCGGCCAAGGTGAGATGATCGTGATTGGTCTCCATATCTGGGGTTGTTTCCAATGCTACGGTCTGGGTAGCTATTACCGGTGAGACTGCTCTGTCCGAGTCCTGTCTCTATTAATGTGGTTTTGGAGTCAGCAATATACAAAAGCGAGGTCACAAGACACAAATGAGGCGACAATGAGAGGGGTTGTTAACCCCAAAATGTACATACCTGAAGCAGGCTCAGGGGGAAGGGGCTTGTCGGTAAAAGTTGGGTCGTTGGCGCCAGTCATGGCTGATCGTGACTGAGATTGACCTGGAACACCGGAGCTCACGCTGGCCGTTGTTGCAGCGTCATCGTTGTCAAACCCTCCAGGCATACGGGAGGCGTAGGGCTCGCTGAGACCATGGGAGGCACCCCCAGTGGTACCACTATCGAATTGGCTTGTCCCAGTGGGATTGCTTGAGGTGGACAAGGGATCATGTCCGGCGGTGCGGCTGCTGCTGAAATGGCTGCCTGTGTTGATTTTTAGTAAATTGGCCGAGTCTTCCGGCGAATTCGAAGCTTACCTTGCCCGGAGCCAGTATTGGTATTTTCCATACTGGTGTCGCCAGTGTGAACGGGGTCATCCGATCGTCCGGAACCATACATGACTTCATCGTCTTTCTTGCTTCCAGGGTTGCTACAACGGAGAAGTGCATTAGCAGGCTGGACTTCGTCACTGCGCAAAGGTGGCAAGCGGTCTTACACAAGGTTCTTCAGCTTCTCCATGACTGTGAAGCTCAGTGTTGTGACAGTGTCTCGTGAAAATGAGTGACAGGATCTGCGAGGTGAGTTCTTTTCGCTTGTGAATAGAGATGGAGATTGTCTTGGCGGAATGTGGTTTTGTCCGAAGGAGTCTGTGCACAAAAGGGAGTATGTGTATACAATAATGAGGGCTGGAAGTAGTTCAAATAGTTAACAGGAAGAGGAGTGTGAAGGAAAGGTTGCGGGGTGAAGGGTAGTGTATTACTTCAGTCACATGTAAATTTATTGAAAGAGCTTGGAAGCTTTATTTACAACTTGGAAATCTAGGAATCTGAACCAAAAATGTCATCGCGCATCAAGTCCCATTCCCGCTATTCCCCTTCCAACGCTCTTTGATAAAGTAGTTCAAGGTACACCACTGCTAGAAGCGGCAGAAGGCCAAACCATCGACGAGTCAGCAGGACGGCAGGACCTGGCCCATATACCATCTTATTTCGCCGCGGTAAGCGCTCAGTATTAGGCTTAATAGTTCCAAGAAAATTGTTTCCCATTCTGCGCACTACTGTATGCACTAACATGTAGGTGCGTTTGTGGATCGGAGATCGGACAGTGGTGGGGGGAGTGTGGCTGTGAATTGTGGCTGTGCCGCTGTGCCACAATCGAGTCCAAAAGAGTTGACTTCGGAGTTCTGGACCTTGGGTAAGTTGGTAAACAGTTAACAGAAACAAGACATGCCCATCCGTATACTGTCAACCCAAATTGCAGGAACGAGATCAATCTTTGACACCATACAGTGCTTTGTGCAAGACTCGCAGATCCCGAATCACCGAGGTGCTAAATCAAAGGGAAGTCGTTGGTCTTCCTTCAATTTTTCACTGCCAACTTGTCTTGAACTTGACGGCCAGCGCCTGTCGAGTGCACCCAAAAAAAAACCATCGGCCTTCCGTCCATACAACAAAACCTCCCCCAATCATCCCATGCATGCAAAGTCTATCCCTCCTATCTGGTACCCGGCCTTACATCTGGGTGGCAGGAGATCAGCAGAACCCAAGCAAAGTATCGCCATATGCTCGCATCTGTAAGGTACACGGCCAGTCTGAAAACCATCCAGCCCGGTAACCAAATTGGCCACCTCTTCTGTACATGACATAGTCTTCGTAAACGCTTGCACGTATTCGTACATTTTCCGATCACCCGAGTCGAAACAAGAATCCACACTAAATATACTCCTTTTTCTTCACTCTCCTTGTTGTCTTAAAGGCTTCAAAGTGCTCTGCGTCATCGCTTTTGCCAGTTCATCTTCAGTGAACAGTCGTCCATTCGTAATCGTCTTCTGCGTGTCAAGGCCGTGAGCATCGCCGTTCGTAATAGTCTTCGAGAACTCCAAGCCAGCCATATCTGTAGTAATATCGTTTGTCCTCGGTCTCCGATTCTCCGCTGTATGCTGCCTCGATAGTCCCACTAGCACCAGGTAGAATGTCAGCCCGTTCAGTTGATCTATCCTCCCAAGATAAACAGGCCCATACCGTTGGCAACATCGTCATCCCCTTCTCCACTCTCCTCTACCCCAGCAAAAGCAGAATTTCGCCTACTCCCCAGTTTACTCTTCTTACTCCACGCGCTATTCCTCCTGCTCATGATTCGACTGCCCATAGGACTTAAATCACTTCCCACCGTCCCACTACTTTTCCTCCTCTTCCACGCGTCTCCAAAACTAAAAGCTGATAATTTGTCCTGATGTGCTTGATTGTAAGGACCACGGTATTTCGGACGGGGCATGGCCTCGCCCGGCTTGTAAACATTATCGGGCAGCTTCTCTTTTTTGACCTTTTTCGATTTGGTAGATTTAGTTGTGTCGGTTGTGGTAAGGTCGGAGCCATCATCGTCCTTCATCTTCAGTGCACGCTTCATCTTTTCACGGAAAGGCATGGCACGTCTGGTCTGGGGAGACGAAAGCAATTCTGTTTAATTTGAGGGTGTCAAACGGATATGGGGACCCGATATGGATTTCCTCAGCCGGAGCGGAATGCGAACGCAGCACAGACTGTGCTCCGGAGTAGGACGTCTGCTGGAAAGATTTGTCTCCTGGCAACTCGGACACTCATAAAAGTAGGTGTTCCAGTGGGGCGCCGGCGGCAAGGAAATGGCGTGACAGCAGAAGACTCGAAGTTTGGCTGAGTACGGGACGGGGATCCCGCCGAGAATAATCGTAGTAAATTTACGGAAGAGTAAGCAACGGCATTATCGGATCGCGTAAGAATACCGGGCACATCTTTCGTAGTGTCGGAAAGGTTGCGATCGTCGAAGAAATGTCGAATACATGGCTGGGGCTGGAGATAGCCATGGGAAAGCTCGGCACGTAGCTTTCTGGCCTCTGATAGTGATGAGGAAGACTTTGAAGTGGTGTGAACCTCTCCCCATCATTATGGAGTAGTGACTGTGTTGAGTATCTCCACGATAATCCACCTGGATCGTGGCATCAGAAGAATTGACTTCCGTCATGAGATTTCGGTACGCCACGTATCGATAAGCATATATCTGCGAGAGCTGGCCTATCTTTCTATCTAGATAAATGCAATTGTTACAGCGCAACTCCAACGTTCAAATGGAATAAATCTATGGAAGTTGGGCTATCAGATTTGAGATGTGGCTCTCAAGGTACCTAGGAGAAGCAGACAATGCCCCGGAAATCTCCACCCATTATATACAGGAATCGAATTATATACAGGCGATAGAGGCCAGTCTAATAATGACCATAATGACGCCGATGAGATGCTTTACTGCCACTTATACGTAAGCCAGATGAGACGCTCTCGTATGTCTTGGATGAGTCAGTGACTCTCATTCCCGTTTCACTTCTATGACAGTGAAATAAGTCCATAGATTCCCCGAGCTCAAGCTTGTTCCAGACGAAGGTGGGTTATATACAATGGCCCCGAATGCATCAGGAGTCTTTTCTGTTCTTATTCTCTTCTTCATCGGCAAGAACCCTAAAATACCAATCGCCTTGCAGATACCAGGAACGGTCCTCTAAATCAGGTCTTTGATGCTCATTCGGTTTGACGGACTCATGGAATTTGGCGATGGCGCCAGAGGAGGTAACATCATGGATGGCCGTAGTGACGATTCCTGAATAGCAAGATGCTGTTGCTCTTGTTCCTTCTTGCGCGACAACCTTTCAATGGTCCTCAAGACGTCGTCCCACCCATTCCAGTCGGACTGCTTTGTTTGAGGCCTGGCTGGTGAAAGAATTCGTTTCAAATCTTGTTTATCTTTTTCACTTGATATTTGTACACCACCTTTACCTTCTTGCCATATCCACGAATTCTCGAAGCTACCCTGGAGATCCCCAGACACGTATGCGATCATCTCCTCGTCCGTGTCGATCTGGACTCTATGATCCAGCTTAGATGTCATCTCGTGGAGAAAGAACTCGAGATATCGGCCACAGTCTACATTGACTGGACGCGTGTTTCCCAAAGTGGCGCTCGCTCGAGCACATGAAAGCGCGCTCTCAAAATCGAGGCGAAAGCACAGAAAGAGTGTGCAGCGCCAGACGTGTGTACAAAAGAAAGCACTGCTTGCTGAAATCATGCGGCTTTCCCAAGTGTCGTTTTGCTCTGCTTCGTGTGATCGAGGCTCCCCAGGTGGCTGCATGCAACGGCGAAGGAATCCGGCAGTATCTTTTGCAACAAGTACACATTGATCAATTGCGGTAGACCTTTCAACGGAGTCGCAGGTAGGCGTTAAGTTGTGTCGATGAAGCATGAGCCGAGCATTTTGTAGGTATATAAGGGGTGGGAGCTCAGTTGGATGGATGTAGCCATTGGCTCGGCGTTGTTTTTGTGCAGGGAATGCATTAACGCATTGGTTGAAGTGCAAATCATAAGCTTGCAATGCAGATTTAGCTAAACGATCACTTTTAAGAACCCGTAAAAGTCTAGCGATGCCACCGATGACCTGTATCATAGGGAGAAGGGGCGACGTTGATTGCTCTGGATCTGGGGAGGAGGCCCAAGGAATTCCCGGTATCATATACTGGTCATCGATAGGACTTGGCATGCCAACATTGCAGTCTTCCTCTTTGGTCAAGGAAGGTCGCCCCAATTCCAGCGACAGCAAGCTATTCGAGTCAGACGTGAGATCTATATAATTTGATGATACCACTCACCAGTCGCAGGCATACACACACCACCAAACACGTCGGCGCATCTCCCTTTCAATGGCAGGCCAGGTTCCAGCTTCGCAATGCAGGCCAATATCAAAAGAAATCCGCACGGCAAAACCAATCCAGGTCCAGCCAGCAGATTTGAGGTTCATTTCAATGAGAAATATGCTGCTGAGAAGCGCAGCACGTGCATGATCAAGGGTAAGGTCTTCAGTCCACATATCTATAAGAGACTTGGATATTTCCAAATACTTCTGGCCATCATACCAAGAGCGATGCAGCGTTCCACAAGCGAAGACGGCAAACAAAAGAGCACTCCATATTCGCGGAACACCATGCAGCGACCCATTCTTATAAGCACTGTCATATTGCTCTTGGAACGATGGCCAGTGAACCAAAGGTAACGTTGGATGAAGCGTGGTTCGGTATTGGTGCATAAGAGTGTCTGCCACATGCTTCGGAGGAAGTCCAGGAAGCGAAGACGAGAACAGGTCCGATGAGTTAATTTGTTGATGCGGATACGGCGGCTTGAAGATGCCCCTACCGCGTTGCTGCATAGTGGAACCTATCCTGGACAAATCCTGTGGAGCCATTGTCCTCCGCCTTTTTGGCTGTCTTTCTTCGTACCCTGAAAATCGCTCACTTACATACCGTGGAAAGTATGTGGTCTCCGGTCCTGGAAGATGAGACATATTGTGAAGGTTTGAGGGCTCTGGACCTGGGAGATGCGCAAGAGGGTGGGTTTGGGGAAGAGGGTCCGAAGCAGAGATACCATGGACCGGACTCGCACCTTCCCCGGATCCCAAGATCGAGCGAAGGTGATTCACTTGTGATTTTGCCTGGGCTAATTCTTTCTGAAGGTCCTGATTGTGTCTGATCCGGGCGAGTCAAAAAAGCACGATGGCAATGGATATGCACGGCACTGACCTGATATTGGACATGCGCCTGTTTGTCTCTTTTGTGAACTGGCATTTCACATTCCTACTGGTACATTCTGTACAGCTCGTGCTTTCGGTGGCGTCGCACTGTAGATATTAGTGCTAAACTACAAAGCAGAGAAGCATGAGCTGACCTTCACTTTACGCTCTCGACACGCATCACAGCTTGGATCCTTTCTCCGTTGTCGATAAGCACGTTTCTGTCCCTGCAGGCTAGTAGCCGTCCCGTTGGAGTCCGGATACATGTTTGGTACAAGAGATCCACGCGGATGACCGATCTCTGCATAGCCAGGTAACGACACCCCAGGCGGTGTCATTGTGGAATGGTAAGACTGAACGAAGTCAGTAGACCTTGCCGCGGATCCTCCTGGTGGGGACCTATGCTGAGACTGTAGTGGCCCCAGTCCACTCGAGGGCCTGCTGGTAGCACCAGAAGTGGACATGCCGATACCTGGTGTAAGAGGACTCTGTAGAGGAGTTGCGCCAGACGGAGCCGATGATATGGTGTATGGAGTGGCCTGTGGATACAATGGCGGTGGCCTTTGAGCCGAACTTAAGACCTGGCCAGCCATTATTGAACCTCCAGGGTGATGAACAGACTTAGGTACAGGCTCTTAGGGACACAGGGAGTCGCTCAAAGCAGCCATGGACGATTTCGACGGGCGAAAATAGCCATTGACAGGTGTGGGATTAACTTTGCGAAGGATCATAAAGAGTAAGGATGCGGGCCTTATTGTCCTGGTCAATGGTTTCAACAAGGTACCTTTAGGTCCGTGGCAGCGCTATTGACTGTGATAAATTTAAATTACCCTACCGCACCGCGAATGAGGAATCCCACAGGAATCGTTGGATAGCTTTCCACGGTGGTTCCGGTGATAATTTATGAGCTCTTTGCTTTAAATTTGGCAGAATGAAAGAAATGCTGTGTAGATTTGACGTTTGGCTCCCAAATCTATTTGCCACCTTCAGTCATTGGCTCCCGCAGAGATAAAAGACGGGTATGCAGGGCCAGCCTAGGATTGGCGGAGCTTTCATGCATGCAATGGAGGGTCCAAGTTCCTATTTGTCGGCACCCATGGAAAGATGTCGGTTATCGGAAAGTAATTTTGCTTAAGAAAAGTGACGACAGCCGCAGGAGGAAAAGTCCGAGCGTTGGCGTATAGGTCCTTGGTGGATGTTTGGGATAGGGAAATGTTGAGTGCCTTTTACTATTGGACGCAATCACAATTAGTTGCAGGCAACGTCGCAGACAACGAACACAGCATTTCCTATGTCATGCAAGATCAGAAAAGTAGCAGCAGGAGGAGAAAAATGGTATCTTTAAATCAGATTCGGAAGGCATTGCTTTTGAATGGGGATATCGACAAGTGGGATGGGGAGTGATGGATGTGTCTGCCCAAGATCTACATGAATAGCAGTGTGAGGAAGTTAAAGATGGTGCCAGAGGTGTGAAAGGCATGCCGAGACGAAGCCGAGAATGGCGTTCTCGCTTTTGGCTGGAAGAAGAAGAAAGCGACGATCGATATGAAGTGATGTTCGCAGGTCCAGTCCCCCGCGGCCGCTGAATCAGTAGTGCCTTCCAGAGGCAATCAAGAACAAGCTTTAACTTGGGTTTAGCTGGAAAGGAATGTTAGCAAGATCATTCCAGGCCAGGGATATTGAAGCAAAAACGAAGGTCAGGGTCATTCATCTACTTAGGTGCATCAACATGATAAGCATCAAGTAAAGTACTTAACTTGGGTTACCTATGGTGATGGGATCATGGGGGCACTTTGCTTATTGCCGAAGCGAGATCTCGCTCGCGCGATCTGCACTCGATCGACCTGTGCCTTAATGGATCGTCAACCGCTAACGCTTGAAGCCGAACAGGCCCAAAGACCGTAAAAGACGTCAACAAGCATTATTATTATTATTGATACGATTATCACCGATCTCACTTGCCTTAGTCCGGGCCAGCGCTAGTCGTAATTGCCGGCCACAGTCCATCTTCCGAGGCCTCGGATGTATAAGTAGACCAACAGGTAGTTGGGGATCTTCGTTGACGAGGGCAGATACCTTCACGACCGAGGACAAGCCACAACCCGAGTCAGGCAGCAAGCTTGACTTTTGAGCCTCTTGCCCGCCATCCGCAGCACACATCTATCTATGGTCTGGACCACTCTTGCTTTTCAGATCTGCAGACCGCAGCTGTCATGAAAAGGGTCCTCTGTTTCTTAAACCGGAAGTATCACTTAAATATCCGGGGTATCGCACCTCCTTCGTATGCGAATGCAACAAGTCGTTTGTTCTTGGAAACATTGGCGTCTTTGTGTCATAGCCATGCAATGTCAATATGTGAGGCTGACTTCGAAGAGCCTAATAGGTCAGCGTAGTTTGTCGTAATATGCCTGGCTCCCCTGGTCAAGCTCCTTTGCTGGGGTCTAATACCTTATGTCCAAGTCGAGCCTCGCGAGTTTTAAAGCCTGAATGCCTGGCAGCTCTAATGCCTTCGTACGGCACTATGTAGCTGATCAACAGCGAAGCAACTAACGACTCGGCAACAAGAAACGGGGCTGCCCTATGGTGGGGATGGCCGGATGACGCCTCTGCGCAAGCGCTGCTGTCCTTCCCGGAACCAACAATTCAACGAAGTCGACCCTAAAAACGCTTCCCGGCACTTCTGTAAGTGGCCTCGGCTGCCGGAAAGCACTGTCAAAAGGCAGAGCCGCGCTTTGGTGGCCGATCCCGAGGTTGCATTGTGCAAGCATGAAACCAACCTCTGTAAAGTAGTTATGGCTCGGTAAGTCTTGCAGTACACAGCGTAAACCTGTCGAGGCATTCCAGAAGCTGTTCATTTCCGGAGACAGAAGGAAAAACCAGCTCGCTAATCGTGGTAAGCTCCCTTCCGTTGTTCTTACACTCGTTGGTGTACGCCTCTCTCTATACTCTTACGGACGGGTTTCAAAGCTATCATATATATAGAGTAGGGAAGTTGCTGCGGAGGTCGCACTTTTCTGAAATTTCTCTCGGAAAAGCTGACACAGCCGAGTTGAACGGCGCAATCGGATAATTGTAGATGTTATTGAAGTACCTTACAGTCGATACGGAGGTTGACACCAAAAGTCCTGGACGCCAAGATTTCTGTGCCAAGATCTCAGATAACGCCCGGCCTGAGGGGTTGCCCGGACACTACGCTTAGAGATGCTTCGGAAATGTACCTGACCTGGGCCTAGCCGGGACCCCAGACCTCCCTACCGGACCTCGAAGAATTCAGAGGTCCCTATTATAGGTAACCCTTTAGTGCGCTACCCGAGAGTTTTTTCTGGGGTCTTGGCGTGCGGCTTCGGTGCAGCCTGTCCTTGCAGTCGTACGGAGGTTAGGGCTTGACCATAGTCCTGCAGGACTTCAGTGCTGGCTGCCAAGATCTAAGTGGCAGTCTTGGCGCCGGCTTGAGTTATCGCGAGAACTCAACAAGTAGAGGTTTCGGAAGATGTACTTCAATTGGTATAGTTGGGACTTAGCCTTACCTGGACCTACAAGCAAAAGTAGGTCCTGTACAAATCCTTTCATTGTTCGAATTAGCCTTTTATGGGGTCTCTTGCTTCTTGGGCGGAACTGCGCACTTAGGGTTAGGGCTGTGACTAGTGCTGTCCAGGACTTTTGGTGTCAACCTCCGTAGCAGAGAACTTATCACCGTCCCACCCACAGAGTGGAGAATGATCAAAACATTGCGCTGTGAAGTTTTAGAGGCCAAAGACCCAAGATTACGCGTAGCACGTGCCAAGCAGTGGTCGAAATACTCGCACTTTACTTAGGTACTAGTACCCATTATTTACGCAGCTTTTTTTTCCCTTTCTTCGCAAGCGCTGAGGAGATAGGGCTCGCATTACCTAGGGTACTGTACGTACCGTATGTACAAGTAAGCTATGTTTAGCGCAAATACATACACAGCCCTGCATTTGAGGGGTCGAAATTGAAACCCTCTCAATATCACATCGGAGTTTGGAAAAGGATTTGAACAGCGCAAGGAATTCATCTTTGAAGTTGATTCACTTGATCTTGAGAATTTGTACCGTCTCGATTGTCACTTTGTTTGGCGCCCAGTCTGCCCCTGCCAACGTTCATATTACGATCTCTATTAACCTTGCTTCTTTCCTCTCTCATTCGTCTACCATGTGCAGAACTCATCTTCACCCCTATCTCGCCGCCCTTCCCAAGGTGGAGCATCACATGCACCTCGAGGGTGCCCTTTCTCCAAGCCTCCTCTTCGCGCTCGCAGCTCGCAATTCCATTACGATCCCTACGAGCGACGCAGCCTTTGGGTCTCCTGCCGCCCTTCTTGATCGATATACTCGCTTTTCATCCCTGGATGACTTCCTCCATTACTATTTCATTGGTATGAAATGTCTCGTAAAGGAACAAGACTTTGAGCAGTTAGCTTGGGAATATTTCTTGAAAGCTAAAAGTGATGGCGTGGTACACGCCGAGGTATTCTTTGATCCGCAGGCGCACACTGGCAGGGGTATCACGTACGAAACTGTCGTCAATGGATTCACGACGGCATGCCAGCGTGCAGAAAAGGAGCTCGAGCTGAGCACGAAGCTAATACTCTGTCTTTTGCGACATCTACCCGTCGAAGATTCGACAACGACATATGCCCAGGCCAGAATGGACTGGGAGACTGGGCGTCTGGCCGGCTTAGGTTTAGATTCGAGCGAGAAAGGATTCCCACCAGGAGCTTGGAAGGAAATTTATGGGACAGCGAAGACGAACGGAATAAGAAGAACAGCTCACGCTGGGGAGGAGGGACCAGTCGAGTATATCAGAGAGGCGTTGAGTGAGCTTGATGTTGAAAGGATTGACCATGGGATACGATTGGCCGAGGACACCGAATTGATGCGAGAAGTTGCGGAGAAGAAGATTCTCGTCACACTGTGTCCATTATCGAATGTCAGGTTACAATGCGTGAAAGATGTAAAGGAGCTGCCGATCAGGACATTCTTGGATAATGGGGTCATGTTTTCGATCAACAGCGATGATCCGGCGTACTTTGGTGGCTACATACTGGACAATTATTGCGCGGTACAGGAGGCATTCAACCTCACAGCCAGAGAGTGGGCGGCTATTACGAAAGCAGCTGTGGAAGGCAGTTGGTGTAATTATAGCAGGAAACAATACCTTCTGGAGCAGCTGAATGAGACAATGGTGCAATTTGGCCATGGGTGACTTTTGGATAAAACGAGACAAGGATTTGTCAACATAAATGCCACTTTGACAGCAATGCTTGACAAGCAGTCGGTTTGAGCAAGATTGATTCCGAGCTTGGCTGGGCTCTTCGCCACTCGTCTTACCAAGCCGTTGTTGATGCCATGGCAGGTCTCTTACAGAAAACGTATCAACTCATGCTCATCGTTGCCATTTCAAGGGATAGGCCTGGTTGCCCGCAGTTTGTGAGCATGACCTGATAAAGAAAGAAAGCAGAAGCGACGAATTTGAGGTAGAATTGACATTTTCGATGGCTTGCCATCCCTATCCACCTGCTAGAGCGAATACTCATCGACGCGCAGATCTGGTTGTAGGGGCAGTCCCGAACTGGAAGTCTTAGGCGAGCATTCGAAACGCGTTTCCCCAAATATCATGACCTCGTTGCACTTATGTCTTGATCTAATGCTTTCGCTCCCTGGGAAAAGAGTTGATCTCCAGCAAATTAAATCTTTTATTTCTGCAGAGGTACCGTACTGTCTTGATACCGACAATGCTACTTCCCCACTCGTGCAGACAGAACCCAAATTGGACGTATGCATGGATCCATGCATCACATACGAGTCTCAAATGCTGTAGTGAGAAATATCTCCCACATTAGTGTCACATCTCAAGAATGTATTAACCTTCAAACCTTTGATATTTCATGATGCTTGAGCCTCCAAGTGCGGAAAATGGCGTCACTTGATTGATGCAGTGAAAATCACTTGAGCAGACTGTAATGACACCGCTACAGCTTGAACACACCACATCTTCTTCTCTGTGCCTTCACTTACAGATTCAGTCTCAATCCTGGCTGAGCTTCAAGGCGTCATGGCTTCCAAAGACAAAGACTTGTCTCTGGTAGACTATCGTCAGCGCCTGATCTATTTCAAAGACGCCGATGCAGAGAGAAATAGTATGATCCATGTGAAAGAAACCGTTCTAACTGCGCTGTCTGCAACAGCTTGCCAATTCTTACGGCAGGGACTCACCGAGAAGCTGGAGCAAGCACAGATAGGGTTTCGACAAATATCGCTGGATTTAGAAAGCGAACGAGGCCAACGGCGCATACTTCAGAGCCGTGTCGAAGATCTAGAAGCCTTGACTGTGAGTCGATCCGGACGATTCAAAGGGGGTCCAGCTAATCGCGAACCATTTTAGAATCGTCCAGGATTCATCTTGGTGTTGATAGATGCCGACGCAGATGACTACGCTGTACGTTTCTATTTCTAATCCGTACGTTGTTGCGAAAAGATGAATCTGAATCTTTTCACCTGCCTAGTTCCACGAGAAATTCTTAAGCAGAAACGAGGCAGGCGGCAGAGATGCTGCGGATGAACTGCAAGCTAGAACCAAAGACTATGTGAAGAATGTTAAGCTTGATGCCGAAAACACCGACATCACAGTCCGAGCATACGCGGGTTTGAAGAGCCTCAGATCAGCTTGTGTGAGGAACGGAAGGATGAAAGAGAGCTCCAGCATGAGTTTATTTGCTCATGGGTTCAACCAGCGGCAAGCATTGTTCGACTTCGTCGATGTTGGTCCAGGGAAGGAGGGGGCTGATAACAAAGTTCGAGGTACGTTCATTCTACAAGAATCTTTTCAACTCAGCCGTCATCTAAACGAGAATGGACAGAGTGTCTCAACTTGTTCGTCGAATTTTGGGGATGCAAGCACATTGTCCTCGGTGCTTGCCACGACTCAGGCTACGCATCCTTTTTGGGAAAGTTTGCGGGCGATGTTTCAATCAGAGATCGCATCACACTCCTCCACGGCGATACGATTCATCTCAGGATCGCGGAATTAGGTTTTACGGAGACTCTGCGACTCAAGTCGGTCTTCGCGACGCACAAGACATCCGCTGTCCCCAGGGTTTTCGCCAATGCTAGAGTTTCCGCGACACCGATTTCGCCCTCGGCATCGGTTGCAGCTTCTTCAGTCAAGCACCCCTTCAATCCCGCGGCCTTGACTGATAGATTTGGTATTGTCTTTCGCGACGACACTGGCAAGCGGGTGGATAAGCTGCTAGGCGTTGATGCCAACACCCCGTACGTGAACTATTTACGCCAAGCAAACATGTGCGGGTGGTATTACTTGCGTGGCAAATGTGATGGCTGCGATAGGAATCATGTTCCTCTCCCTCTCAAAGCCAGGGAGTTTGACTGTTTATGGTTTCTTGTACGCCATGGATTGTGCTTCAAGGTTCGCAAGGGCAAGGATTGTGACGACCCGAAGTGTATCTACGGACACGAAGAAGGTCTTCCGATAGGTTCGGTGACGGGCTGAGATTGGGTTTCCGATCCCAATGCTCTATTAACGAGATTCGATCCTCAGATGCTCGACAGTGGCCTTTTCATAAGGTCCTCTCGGTCTGGTTGGCATTTGGTCGTCTGTGGCTGTGCATCTAGAAATTTAGTGATGCGACCCCAATAAAGCTTCAAACTGATACTCACATTCTCCATCTCCTTGCTTTAGATGTCACTGTCCATGGAATGATTTTAATACTAATCTATGTAGCTGACCTATCAGCCATGGAAGAAAAGCCTGAAAGAAAACCTTCAAATGGCGAGACCAGATGCCAAACAATATCCGGCACCACCGGCTACGATTTGAGGCATCGGCCCGTGCCCTTCCTCTTCCGTTCATTGCCGGCTTTAAAGAGGGGTACATATCCGAAAACCCATCTTATGTTTCCTCATCCTTTACTGTGTATTGCTTCGTAGCCCTATAATTCCTTCGAGGTCTCAATCAGAGCAAAATGATGGCACCCCGCGTTCTACTTCTCGGTGGTCATGGCAAAGTATCCCAGCTATTTACACCCCTTATTTTATCCCGTTCCTGGCAATTCACCAGTGTCATTCGAGATCATGTCCAAGAATCCACTGTCACGTCTCTGGGAAAGAATCAGCCCGGAGAGCTCGATGTCCTAGTGTCACGTATTGAGGATATCAAAACATAAGCCCAAGCCCAAGCCCAGTCCACCATCGATTCCACATTCCCTACATATGTTGTCAGCAGGCGCAGGTGGAAAAGGCGGGCCAGAGCGAACGCTCACTGTAGATCGTGGCGCCTGCATCGCCTTCATCAGCGCAGCAGTTGCAACCCTCAGCGTGTCCAGATTTCTACTCGTTTCTTACGTCGGCTCGGGTCGTTCCAAAGCTCCCTGGTAGAGTGACGCCGACTGGACCGCCACCCAAGAAGCCAATAACGGCGTGCTGAAGAACTATTTTCCGGCTAAGATCGCTGCAGATGAGTGCTTGACTTCTTTGGCATCTCCGCGTCAATCAGGCCTTACGGGCATATCATTAAGGCCCGGCAGTTTGACAGAGGAGAAGGTAAGGGAACAGTCGCGCTTGGAAAGACGGGTGTGAAAGGGACTGTGAGGAGATGCGATGTCGCAAGAGTTGCAATGGCGTTGCTAGAGAATGAAAGGATTGGAAGCTGTTGGTTGGACCTGTTGGAAGGAAAGGAAGAGGTCGAAGATGCCGTGGAGAGGTGTGTTGGGGAGCAGGTAGATTGTGCGGATGGCGAAAATGTGAAGGGCGTGGCGAGGGAGCAGCAGTAGCAGCTGGAGCCCAGATATCAAGTTTTGATTTTCATGTATGAATTTAGTTATTTATCAGGGAATATCGCATGGAATGACTCTTGGGGCTTGGCCTTCGCTTGATCCGTGTAGGTTAATGGCAGGAAAACAGGAGCACTTATAAATTACACTGCACTATATCCTCCTCTTGAACCACCGCCTTGTATAGTGTTGACGACCCTTCGCATCCAATCCCTAAAGAGATAGGGCACATCTCTGATCGTTTCCGAGTGCGGCAAAAGGTCCCAACCTCTGGCCGAGTACTTGTTATAATTGAGCCAACTGCCGAAAATGAGGTACGCGGCGACGCCCATGAATGCACTGTGGAAGGACGCCTTGTTAATAAATCGATCATGAAACATACAAAATTAGCACTTACATGATAATGAACCACGTGAAAAAACCTAATTCCGGAGTCAGTACCCCCTATCCAAGAGAGGGCGTGGAGGCCAAGAACTCACCCCAATGCCCACTACTCGAGCCTTTCCTGTCATCTCTCACATCCTCGCACCCATACTTCGTGGTCCAATCCAACCTAAAAACCTTCGTGCCTTCTTCAACATCCCAACTGACAAGCTTCAATTTTCCTCCATGCTCATCATCCACCTCTTCCCCTTTCTTATCTCCACCTTCTCCAGCCCCATCATCCTCTTCATCCTCCGCCACCCGCAGATCTCTTCTCATACCGTCCCTTGTACTATTATTGCATAAGAATTCCACGATAGCTTTCTGTTTCTGACCGTCGGTATCCTTTCCCCCATTCATTTCGAGCCGAACACCCTCTTTTACCTTATCAGCGTTGGACGCCGATGATTTCAAACGTGTCCATTTGGGATCCAGTGCTCCGCCGAAGGAATGCGAGAATTCGCCAGCTATAGGAATAGTTTCGATGATTGTGGTCACATTTTCAACCGTATTGTCCAGGCGCTTGATGGCACAGGCTGTAGAGGAAACGTGAAAGTCAGTTTATGTAAAGTGCAGCATAAGGGCCATTTTCGCCAAGATATCAGCCTACCTCTAGAATAGTTAGGACAATCTTCCTCTTTTGGTACGCCTTTTTGTTTCTCTAAAGGCCGACAGATGTCAATTGTAAATGTTGTTGTTTTGATTCCGTTAGGTTGTTTCTCGATCCTGTAGAGAGAATGGGGCCCTTCCAGGGTCCTGAAGTTGAATGATACACCATCGTCCCGAACGTCCGAGCAGTCGAGCGATATAGCTGTTGCGAGAGATGGAACAAGGAGGATGACCGATGAGAGTCTGATGTAAGGATGGGGAGATAGTCGCATGATATGGACTGGTGGCTCGAAGGCCCAATTGATTACTCCGATGAGGTGTCCAACGCAAAACCTAACACTAAACGCTTGAATAAAAGAAGAAAAAGGCTCGCTAATCGTGTGATGCGAAGCTGTAGGTCTCCGGGAAGAAACAATGCCTGGAAGCTTTAAAGAAACTTTGGTCTTCTCACCGCGCCAAGTGTATGTCTTGGCAGGGCTGAATAGCCACGCTAGCAAGCGAGCCCGCTAATCTTCACACACTAATTTCCTCCTCAGCGAAGACTCAACTCATCGACATCATTCACAGAGTGCATCACCCATCATGTGTAAGTCTTACGGCTAAAGGCTTGATCTTGACGCAATGGATCCTTTAGAATTCTGGCATACTGCAGCAAGTCGCTGACATTCAATACAGCACTCGTCTCGGGAGAGAAGTCGAACTTCCAGTTCATTCTTCGTCTCCTCAACACCAACGTCGATGGCAAGCAAAAGATCATGTATGCCCTCACCAAGATCAAGGGTGTCGGACGCCGTTACTCCAACCTGGTTTGCAAAAAAGCCGACGTGGACTTGAATAAGCGGTATGCTTCCACCAACACCCTCCCCTCCCTTCCCTGCGCCAATCTAGGCCACGCACGTCTCTCACAAGCGATGCTAACAGTGGGTTGCTATTCCAGAGCGGGTGAAATCACTTCTGAAGAACTCGAACGCATTGTCACCATCATCCAGAACCCCACTCAATACAAAATTCCTACCTGGTTCCTTAATCGCCAGCGTGACATTGTGGATGGCAAGGACTCGCAAGTATTGGCAAACGGCATGGACAGCAAGCTGCGTGAGGACTTGGAGCGCTTGAAGAAGATCCGTGCGCATAGAGGTTTGAGGCACTATTGGGGTTTGAGGGTTAGAGGACAGCACTCGAAGACCACTGGTCGGAGGGGAAGGACTGTTGGTGTGTCGAAGAAGAAGGGTTGAGCGGACGGCAGGACTCCTTGCGGAGAGTAGGCGGTGCCTTCCTGTGGTGGTCTTGATGTGCAAAGCTTAAACTTGGCACCGAAATTGCGTACACAAGTCTTCTTGTCTCGTGAATCAGGTCAAATTAACAAATGCAGCCACCATTTCTTGCGGGCTCGTTTCGGAATCTGCTCGCAGATAGCTGGTGATCGGCTGACGGAAATGCTGGTTTGCCGTGAAGCTCTGTGGAATCTAGAGATGCGCGAGACGGTACGATTCTAGTCTCCTTCGTGGAGCACAGCCATGTCAAGCACCTCGACTCTGCCTTTGCCTTTCGTCTCACCACCGACGAACTCCCCCAAGCCTTTGAAGGCTCCCGGCTCCACGAAGCCAACTACTTCCCATTCCTGCCCCAACGTATCCTGGGTCTCTATCTGCTCCACATAACTCAATATCCTGTCTTTGACGGTCCCGGTGGCTCTCTCCGCGTCAACGTCTTCTCCGTCCTCTTTTGCTGTTTTTTTTGGCCCTGCTTTCGTTGCCTGCTTGAGAATACTCGAAGGACACGTAACCCTCAACCTCATCCTCGCCCTCGACACGGGTATGGGCTGCCATGCGATCAACGCCTTCATAGCCTCCAGAGCCTGGCTTTTCGCACTCTTCGTAGTCACCACGCCCGTCCACGTCGGCAGGTCCTTCCTCTTCCCCTTGGCCTCCTCTCCGTCCGCTGTTGGCGTAGCAGTAACACTCCCTTTGCCATGTTCTTCTTGCTTATGTTGTGCACCCTGACTGCTCAACTGCTCCAAGGCTTTCTCAATCATCCCCGCTGTGTATACTCTTTGACTCTTCGGATCGACTAATTTTCCAGCAACGATGTCCACAATCTCGTTGTGGATCCTTTCCGCCTGCGCATGCCGTTCCTTTTCACCAACCTGCATCTCACCTTTCTTCAGGATCTCTTGAATAATGTCGTCAACGCTGGTCTTTGGTCCGAAAGCCTTTGCCAGGTCCTGTGTGGGCGCCGTCTGCCCTTTGCTGACGGAAAGAAAGACGTTGGGTATCTGGAGAACATTATCCAGGTCGGTCTCGATACCACTACGGTATTCGAGGACTTTGTTTTTGTAGCAGGCGATTTCGAAGCGCTTTTTACCTTTTTTCAGACGGACGAGAGAGACATTTGTTAGACGGATTTGATTTGAGGGCTGGTGTTTGGAGGTCAGTCCGTATATATACGTGTGAAACTGGGCACCGAATCGAAGGCACACACCTGATTTATCTGCATAGTGACGGCAAGGGTGCCTTGAGGGTTTTTGGGGTTGTTTACTGCTTCTGCTCACTAGTCAAGTCCTGCACTTCCACACGAGATATCGTATGGAACACGTTACACTTACTCGTAGTATGGGCCACCCCAACGCTAAGGCCGCCCCAATATGGATTTTTTCAATTATTTTATCTACCCATCCACATATATATATACTATAGACTATTATTATCTATTTTAATCTCTCTAGTCTTTCTAATCTTAATTAACTATCTAGCTCTCGTTATAATAACCTTAAATTACTTAATCTTCTTATTTCTAAATATATTATATATCTAAAACTCTTAGATATTTATCTATTTTAAAGCCTTTAAAGCCTTTATAACCTTCGTTTTCTTATATATAATAATTTTATTTTAGGCCTAATAAGAGTAGATAATATCTCTCTTCTAAACTATTATATTAAACTCTACTTTATAAGCTATTTAAGCTATTATAGCCTATTAAATAATATTTAATTCTTACTTAATAAGAAGATCTAAAAGTATCTTCGTTTCTACTCTACGAATATATCTATTAAATATTTAATCGATTAAATATATATTTTATAGTTTCTTTTTATATTATATAATTTAACGATAAGTATATAATATTAGCCAGTTTTTAAGATTAAGTATTTTTTATTTTAGAGTCTTATCTCTTATTAAAGAGTTTCTTCGCTAAAATCTAATTAAACGATTTAAAATAATAGTAGAATTATAGAGAAAAAGATTTATTTCTCGCTATATAAATATAATAATAAACTTAATAAAAGTTAAATTATAAATTACTTGAAAATTAGCTAAAAAATTAAGTTTTAAATAATTATCGCTAGCTTAATATATTATAATATTAATTATCTCGATATACTAGTATTTAAATAGTTGAAAGAATTTTTTTTTTTAAAATTAAAAAAAAAAAAAAAAAAAAAAAAAAAAAAAAAAAAAAAAAATATTTTTTTTTTTTTTTTTTTTTTATTTTTTTTTAAAAAAAAAAAAATTTTTATTTTTAAAAAATAGTAATAATATTAGAAATACTATATAAGAAGCATATATATACTTCTAAAAAGGAGTTTCACGAAGAAGAAAAAGGTGATTCTTAATTTTAATTATGATTGATTGATTAATTAATTAAGCTAAAGCTATAAATATTCTTAAAAAAAGAAAAGAAAGCGATATACTAAGTGACGCTAGTAAGGTTTCTCGAAGAAAGAAAAGAAAGCGATAGTTCTTACGCTATGTCGGGAATGTAATAATTACCCTCCCTCGTAAAAAGCTATATTATTCTTAGACTTTTTCTTATCTAATGAAGATTCAGGCGTAAAAGTGTAGAAAAAAGATATGCGGGTTTTAAAGGAAGATATATACTTTTCTTAAGAGACGTGTTAAAGAAATCTCGATAAGATCTCGTAAAGATATAGAAAAGAGATATATGTATTCTAAAGGAAGATATATACTTTTTTTAAAAGACGTAAGAGTATCGCGGTAAAGAAAGGTATATACTTTTCTTAATAGATGTGAAAGTATCTTAATAGAGTCTAGTAAAGATATAGAAAAGAAGATATACGAGTTATACTTTATATTAGAGACTTAATAATATGTATAATAACTCTATATTATAGTATAAAGAGAATACTATCTATATAGAATTATTATAAGTATAGACTTTATAGTAAGTATCAGGTCTAATACGTTATAGGCCTTGGCGCTACTTACGTCAAGGCGCCGATATCGCATATTCTACGTCAGAGTCCCTTTTAGAGTTTAGTTTTAATAACGTACCCTATATGCTACGTTAGAATCCCTTTCAGAGTCTAGTTTTAATAATATATCTCGTATGTCTAGCGGCTTAGCGGATATAGGTCTACTTCGTATATCTTAGAGTTTTAATATTTCTTAGAGATTAATTCTACTATTAAATATACTATTAAACCCTATAATAATACTATATTTTTTATAGTTTATGCTCGCTAGCTAATCGCTAGTAGACTACGCCTTTATAGTTCTAATCTCTCTATCTTTTAAAGAAAAAGGCTTATTATTATTATAATATCGAGTTTATCTTTAAATTATATAATAAAAAACGAAGATAATATCGAAAGCCGCTATAGCGTTAATAATAAGTTTAAGAATTTTTTATTAGTAAAAGATCTTACTGTGAAAGAATGTCTTATAATCGCTAAAGCCGAAAATCGTTATTTAGAATAAGAATAAGAATTAGCTGCGTTAAAGATCTATAATTATAAGCTTTATAATATTAGCTTATTATTTATAGCTAATAAGAGCTTATTTATATCGATTATTATTACGCCTTTAATAGATATATTAATTAAGACGAAAATACTTCGTTCTAAAAGAATATATTCTTATAAGAGTATTAGTAAGAAAGAGTATCTATATTAATTCTACGAAGTCGAAATTAAGTTTTTTATAAATTCTAAATATTTCACTATTAATTAATTAAGAATTATTTATTATATATAATTTTTAAAAGATAACTCTAATATCTAATAATATAAATACTATTAAACCTATAATCTAGAAAGTATAACTTTTAAATTCTTTAAGTAGTTTTTATTTAATTTAATAGCGAATTTAATAAATTATTATCTTCTCATTTATGAAAAGTAAGAGAAGATTAAATAACGCTTTAATTAGAAGATATTTATTTTTAAGATCTATCTAAAGAAGCTAAAGACTTATATAATTTTATTTTTTAAAAAATATTAAATTAATTTCTTCTTAGCTAAACTTAAATTAAAGCTTAAGAATAAAATTCTAAGTACTAGTAGTATATCGAAATAATAAGAAGAAATTCTTATCTAGACTATTATATAGAAAAAGATTTTAAAACGCGTACGCTTTAATAATAATTCTTATTTAAAATCTTTAAAGGAATTTACTAAGAATAAGCTTTTAAAGAATTAAATTTCGAAGTCTAAATTAACTTTAAACGACGGCGCTTATATAGCGCGTATTTAAGATAATAATATAAAGTATAAAGCTAAATCCTTTAATTCTAATTATAAGAAAAATAGTTATTTTTATTATAATAAATAGAGTTATTAAATATCTAAATATCTAGATCTCGATAAATTACTTATAGTTTATATTAGCGTAGTATCGATAAAAAAAGATTTAGTCTTATAATCGTTTTAGAAGTAAGATAAGAATAATAATTAATAGAGGTAATTTCTTTTATTCTTATAAAGAAATAGATAAAGCTTTAGAGTAAATAGAGGTAACTCGTTATTCTACTCGATATTAAAGCGTATATTAATTTAATTTCATAAAAGTTCGTAATCTAATAGAATTTAAAATCTTATAATATTATTTTATTATAATCGAAAGCGCTAAGTAATTAAAGTATATATTACTATAGCGCGTATTAGCTAGATTATTAATTAGTAGATAGTTAGAATTAAAATAAAAAATATAGTATACTCTTTTATATTATTAATTAAAAAGGTCTTAATATTATATTAGATATACTTAAACTAAGTTAATTATAAATATTATTAGACTTAGCGGTAGAGTAGTAGTAATTTAAAGTTAACGCTAATAAATTATAGATTAAAGAATTAACTAAGTTTACTTAAACTATCGAATAAAAGCTAAATATATTTATAATTATATATATTGCGGTAATATAAAGCGAATTAAAAAATAAGCGTAATCTAGAATTCTCTTAGAAGTTACTAGAGTTTAACGATGTTTTTTTT